AACACTCAATACAGAATGCCTGTCTCAATTGTCTGTTGAAGAAACGCTGAAAAATGCTAGAAAAAAAGCTGTTTTAAAAAAAAAATGTAATGCAGATTTTAAGGATGCTTTTTATAAATACATCCTTTAATATAATGGCTATATTTGTTCAGCTGTCATCTGTAATATGATGTTTTTAGATGAAGATGGTGTTTGGCAATAAGTATTTTTTGTAAAGGCAACAATTTATCTTTTTAGGGACACAGAGCCTTTGATATTACAGTTGTTTTTATTTTTGCTTGACTTGCTTGATATTATGGTTGTTTTTACACAAGTACAGCTCTTGCTACTGAAATTCTCAGCTATGTAAAATACAGCTGTTGGTTTTTCACACAAATACAGCTCTTGCTATTGAAGTTCTCAGCTATGGAAAATACAGCTGTTGGTTTTTACATAAATACAGCTCTTGCTATTGAAGTTCAATGTAAAATAAAATACAGCTGTTGGTTTTCACATAAATACAGCTCTTGCTATTGAAGTTCTATGTAAAATAAAATACAGCTGTTGGTTTCCACATAAATACAGCTCTTGCTAGTGAAGTTCTATGTAAAATAAAATACAGCTGTTGGTTTCCACATAAATACAGCTCTTGCTAGTGAAGTTCTATGTAAAATAAAATACAGCTGTTGGTTTTCACATAAATACAGCTCTTGCTATTGAAGTTCTATGTAAAAAAAAATACAGCTGTTGGTTTTCAGGTTTTCTCTGTAAATAGGGTTTTGGTATTTAAAGTAAAAATAAAAGTAAAGGTCAGTTTGAATGCCGGTGGTACATTGAGCATATGAGGCTAGATTCCTGTGTTGCTAGACCAGTTCGCCCTCGATGTGTGATGTGGTCAACATCCACCGGCTGTCTTGAATTCCCAGGACTTTAGCTGGTAGCTGTCTGGATCCAAGGACATGCAGGAAAAATATCTGACTGTATGCGAATTTGAACCTTGGACACTTGGATCAGCAGGCAAGTGTCTAGCCGCTAGACCATGTCGGATTTCATTTTGTATTCAACTTGTTTCAAAGAGTCTTTTTGCCGTTGAGACTGATAAACACTGATTAAAGAAATTAGTCTCTGACAGTCAGTGTATTTCGGGCACGTTAGAAGCAGAAATGGACTGAGGAAACTGGTAATGGCTGGCAAGGTTCAGTGGAGAAAGAGCAATGGGGAGAGATAAACACTTAGGTGGGTTTTGCCATGTGGATGGGGCAAGACAGGAATACGACCTGATCCTGGTTTCTGGTGATCAAGTATGTTAGATGGCCTACTGTGAGCTCGTTGGGAAGCCTATGCTCTATTGGCAAGTGAACAAAAAATAACACATTATTCTTGTTTTCTTTGTAAGTATATTAACTTGGCTATCTAATCTTATCTGTATTGGATGTAGGAAGGAATGATCCATGTGAGGACTTCCAAAGCGAGTAGGATTTCCATATAGTAAAGTGAGGGACTATTTTTATGTCTTTTCACGTCAGACAATACTTTGTGCATGTATATGCGCGCAAATGGATGCATTTACCCCCCCCCCCCCCCCCCCCAAAAAAATATTTCCTAAGATTAAGGAGGAACAATTTAGAACACTAGTATTAAGCCCACAGTACTAAACTGAAATGTTGCCATTTCTGTCATCCTTATATTCAATTTTGATGTTTCCTTAAAATGTGGATTGCTGCCTCAAAAGACTACATCAGTACATACTTCTCCATATCATAAGGTTTCAAAAAAAAAAAAAATATTAGGTCAATAATCCTGAAATGAATTATTTATTACATTTGATTTTTTTTCCCTTGAATGATAGTGGCTCTTTTAAAAAGACTTCATAAGTACATATTCCCATACTTCCTAAGGTTAAATGGGAAATAATTAAGCCAGTAGTGATATTATAAAATCTTTATTGTATATTTTTTGGTAATCCTTACATTTTGATATTTCAGATAAAAAGACTACATCAGTAAGCACTTTCTCCACCCCTCCCATTCCTAGCCGCTATTTAGCCACATCAGAGCATGATTTATTTTATTTTTGATCTGTGATAATTTAATTTTGCAACAATTCTTGTTTGCTTTGCTTGGCACTATTATGTGAAAATTATTGATGTTATTTTTTTTTTCTGTCCTTTATTTATTTTTTGGCCTGTTTTGTGTTTACTAAAAGGACAGCAGTGTCTTCTCTAGTCATTAAACATGCAAGTATTTTATCAGACATGGGTTTCCTTGTTGTTTGTTGGTTCAGCACCAGTTTTATCGAACATGGGTTTTTTTGTTTTTTGCTGGTTCTGCACCAGTTTTATCAGACATGGGTTTCCTTGTTGTTTGTTGGTTCAGCACCAGTTTTATCGAATATGGGTTTTTTAAATTGTTTTTTGCCTGGTTCTGCAACGATTTTATCGAACATGGGTTTCCTTGTTGTTTGTTGGCTGGTTCAGCACCACTTGTTAATTGATGCCCGGCAAGCTGAATGTTGTCAGGGGCTTTGGGAGCGAATCAACAGTGCAGAGGCACACACAGATCATCCTGGTCTGAGGACAACAGTGCAGAGGCACACACAGATCATCCTGGTCTGAGGACAACAGTGCAGAGGCACACACAGATCATCCTGGTCTGAGGACAACAGTGCAGAGGCACACACAGATCATCCTGGTCTGAGGACAATGGTGCAGTTAGCAGTGACCTGGTTTTCTGGCCAACAATCAGCCCTTGAAGGAAAAGCAAGACAGGCAAGATTTAAACTCTGTGTAGGCTGCTGAAGATGGGGATGGAGTGTTTATAGAAATGTCCTGAATAATGTGTTTCAAGTTCTTAACTGAACTTGTCTGTGGTCAGAGAGTTTAAAAAAAAAACACAAACTAATTCTTGCACAACTTTTACAGTGTGTAGGCACTCAGGTCATTTTTAGCTGGGAGATTTACGATCACACTGCTAGTGCAGTCACTAGACTGCAGGATCGGTTTTCATTCAACCCCCTCCCCACCCATAGAAAAACCCCATAACCCTACCAATGACTTGAATCTGGGTCTTCCATGAGACCCCAGCATTCTTGCCCACTTGGCCAGCCACTTCTCTCAATTGTGAAACTAAAAGTGTTAAAACACCAGAATACAAGCTGATCATTTCTCAACATTTTTATTAATATTTGTGAAAGAAAACAAATATAATACATTCATCAACATCAGGGGGAAATCTCTGTCTGTCTATTATAACAATTCAGACATTAATCACTTCACACTTATCACTGTCACTACCCTTTTTAAAATCATATAGGCACATATTTAGTTGACAGGATTGGCTTTCTGTAGCTCAGTCTCTCTCAGAAGAGTGACTGGTTGCCTACTGAGAGCGTCACATAAAGCACACAATCTGTAGCTCCAGCAAAGATACAATGGTATGTTTTTAGAACAACTGGCAGAGCTGTTTTCTCTTATCTAATCATGTGGAAGGTCCTCTGGAGAATTGCACTCTCGTTACGGTCTGCTTGAAAGACACATTGGTCTCTCACCAGCTCTCCCCCGTGTGCAGTTTCCCAAGTGCCTCTTATAACCTGTGCCCATCTTCCTGCTAGCTGGCCCCTACCCCTCTATCCTGGTACCAAGCCTTCTGATATTATTCTTTCCAACCCTCCCTGGTGCTTGATATAGCCAAAATATTTCAGCTGCCATTGATATGAAATATACAACTTGATGGACAATGACTCTGCTATCTTCTGAATGAGAAAAATATTGAGATGGAGCATATAAGGACATGTCTTGAGTGTTTTTTTTCTCAGTGTTGGATGACAATCTCTTTCTAAAAAAATATGTGAATAATTTCTTCACACTACAAAATTCTCTCAAGTTAAAAAAAAACTCTCAAGTTAAAATTATGATTAAAAACACTGTACAAATTGCCCCAACAACACAGACATGGATAAAACAAATCCCTTCAGTGTTCATCAATTAAACCGTTTGTGATCTTTTTCGGTTGCTATTCTTGTTTGAATCTGTTTAAACTATAGTGATTTTCTCAGGTACAGAAAATGTTAATCATATGTTGATTTTTGATGGACTGAAGAGATCCATTAAAATTATATCAATAATTCTGACGATCAAATGAAATTTTCAACCCACATTTATTTCTTGGATACATTACAAATTAACCTGCTAAAGCAATGTTTCCCATTTCCTGGTTCAGACTCTGGGGTTCATAGAACATATTTCAGGGGCCTGTGATGATATGTATCCCCCCTCCAACAAACATCCCAACAATGATCAAACCTCAACTTCAGAATGCACTTCTTTCTATGATTTTCAAATGTATCAATTATAATAAGCCCTATAGTTTGATCTAAACAATATGGGGTTGTGACAGATCTTTGCAAACAAAGCTAGTTTGGAACCCCTGTGCTGAACTACTGAAGATTTCCAGTACACAGTGAGTGAGCCAGTACACAGAGTGAGTGAGTGAGCCAGTACACAGAGTGAGTGAGTGAGCCAGTACACAGAGTGAGTGAGTGAGCCAGCACACAGAGTGAGTGAGTGAGCCAGCACACAGAGTGAGTGAGTGAGCCAGTACACAGAGTGAGTGAGTGAGCCAGTACACACAGTGAGTGAGTCAGTACACACAGTGAGTGAGTGAGTCAGTACACACAGTGAGTGAGTGAGTCAGTACACACAGTGAGTGAGCCAGTACACAGAGTGAGTGAGTGAGCCAGTACACAGAGTGAGTGAGTGAGCCAGTACACAGAGTGAGTGAGCCAGTACACAAAGTGAGTGAGTGAGCCAGTACACAGAGTGAGTGAGTGAGCCAGTACACAGAGTGAGTGAGTGAGCCAGTACACAGAGTGAGTGAGTGAGCCAGTACACAGTGAGTGAGTGAGCCAGTACACAGAGTGAGTGAGCCAGTACACAGTGAGTGAGCCAGTACAACTTGAGGAGATTTGTTCTCAGCAGATTATCAATGGAAGCCCAAAACCACAAGCTCAAATCTATCAGTCACTTATAGAGGCAAGCTTGTCAACAAGCCCTGGTATAAATTCAAGATCTCTCTCTCTTCCGATAGGGTCAGGTCCAGGTGGTCATCGGCGTCTGTGTTGATGTCAGAGACGAAAGAATCCAAGGCTTCTTTCTCTTCTTTCTTAAGTCTGTGAGAGGGCCCAGCCTCTGGACTTGATGTTTCTAACGGACACACAAAATAAATACATTCATGAATATATAGGTGAATAAATAAGCAATAGACATCAGCCCATCACACACAAGCTCTGTCCCGTTAGTAGCCAACAAAGAGTTATTATACTAACAGTGCAAGTAGAATTGTTAAAAAAAAAGTCTCCACACCACAATGGAAGGCAGTTTGAATGTATCCACTGCTACAAAATGGCTCCAGTATCTTCCATGTGACACCCTGTACCACTGTCTGCCCACCATGGAAATCGAACCCTGGTCAACGCAGTGTTGTCTTGTGAAATGATTTCATTAACCTCTAAGCCAGCGGTTCTTAAACTGGGTGCCATGAACGTATGCCAGGGGTGCTGTGGCAAAAATTAAGAGAAGAGCGAAGACAAAAGTTTGAAGCAGAAATACTGTGAAAGAAGCCAAGAAGAGTTCTGAATGCAGGTGTATTTAGGAGACCATGCTATTGACAAGGCTGCAGTGCATTCTAAATGTACCCTCACATTAAAAAACAGATACAGGAGCTACCTTTCAAGTGATCTGCGGGTACAATTACCTTAAATTACCATAAACATAAGGGAATGAAAAATTCATCCAAACTGTTTCGTTCTCTGCATTAAAGACAACTGAACATTAAATGGGCACTGTTTTGTCTTCTTCTTTCCCTGGGTATTCAAACCCCTCTAAGGGTATGTGGGCCGGCAAAAAAAGTTTGAAAACCACTGCTCTATGCTATATTACTAGTTGCCAAGTTATGACCCGTCTTTTCACCTGAAAGAAGAACACTCTCAAGACTATCTCTGCTTACTTCCCTCTGAAACAGTATGTTGAGGTACGGATACTATCCATTTAACTGCACTATCCACTTGATCCCAGAAAGACTTTACTTCCACTTTATCACAAAGGAGCTCATCGCGACAACAGCCAGTCTATCAATCTGCTCATTACTCTGTACACCTGAATGTCCTGGGCTGAAAATCCATGATCTGTTCCTGATCTTATCAAATGACACAAGCTAGTGGATACACACACAAAAACCCAATAAGATTAAAAACTTTTTGGAGCAATCAAGAAAATATCTGAGCAGTTCTTACGGCAAAGATCAAGGTCATTTAAAAAAAAAATTATATCTCAATATGGATTTGAATCCAGGACTTTTGAGCTAGCATCTTAACCGTCTAGCCACTGCAACACTTTTGAAGTTTAAAAAAAAAGACTCTTTCTTTATGTCAGTGACCTATTAGGTATATAATGGTAGACCAATGAGTTATGTTGTGTGGTGTGGTATGGTGCTGAGAGGTATGTTGTGTGGTGTGGTATGGTGCTGAGTGGTATGTTGTGTGGTTTGGTATGGTGCTGAGTGGTGTGTTGTAGAGTGGTGGGATCAACATCATGCCAACTGCCTTTATTTCCCAGGTCATTACCTGGGAGGGCAAGGTCAATTTACTGGCAGATTTATAAACAAATGCAAAAATGAGAGATAAATACCAGAGCCAGATGATGCTGAAACAGAAGAGGCAGAGGACTCCGACACAGATGTGGATGAACCGGATGCTGACGGATGAGGTAAGATCCCTCCACTCTTCAGCAGATTATCCACAGCTCGCTGGATGTCCCCTCGGTACTGCCTCAAGAACCGTCGAGCTATCTCTATGTCAAACCCCAGACTTGTAACCTGGGCATTAGAAGAATGAATAAAGATTGATCATTTAACAATTTTTTGAATAAAGATTGACCATTTAACCATTTTTTGAATAAAGATTGACCATTTAACCATTTTTTGAATAAAGATTGACCAATTAACCATGTTTGAATAAAGATTGACCATTCAACCATTCTTTCACTAACTACAAACATTCATTCATTTCTTAGTCACACATCGTTACTTTAACTCAATCCATCTGAAGTGGTGGTAACTTTGAACTAAAAATGCTGCACATGAAGCAGTTGAATATTAACCATACTGAACTTATCAATCAGCGGATTCTTTACCCAACATCTCTCTGGTCAAGGCACCCCTGAAAGTCTTCCAACTCCATGTGCTTTCACAGCCAATGAATCTTCAATGTCGTGTAAGCACCTCTGCAGAGGTCAGCCACTGCCTTGTTTTCCAGAAACTACCCTCTGTCACCATTCCCCCTCCTCCCCCTCAGGTCACCATGACATTCAACATGGCCAAAGTATGCTTCGGGATAGGATTCTATTTATGAATCAGTTCTCCTGGATGTTTAGATCATCTTAACTAACTAAAATGTGCTAAAACTAACGCAGTAAATAAACTGAAATGTGCTAAAACTAACGTGGTAAACTAACTGAAATGTGCTAAAACTAACGCAGTAAATAAACTGAAATGTGCTAGACCTAACGCAGTAAATAAACTGAAATGTGCTAAAACTAACGCAGTAAATAAACTGAAATGTGCTAGACCTAACGCAGTAAATAAACTGAAATGTGCTAAAACTAACGCAGTAAATAAACTGAAATGTGCTAGACCTAACGCAGTAAATAAACTGAAATGTGCTAAAACTAACGCAGTAAATAAACTGAAATGTGCTAGACCTAACGCAGTAAATAAACTGAAATGTGCTAAAACTAACGCAGTAAATAAACTGAAATGTGCTAAAACTAACGCAGTAAATAAACTGAAATGTGCTAAAACTAACGCAGTAAATAAACTGAAATGTGATAAAACTAACGCAGTAAATAAACTGAAATGTGCTAGACCTAACGCAGTAAATAAACTGAAATGTGCTAGACCTAACGTGGTAAACTAACTAAAATGTGCTAAAACTAACATGGTGAACTAAAATGTGCTATCTCTACAAAGGAGGTTGGCTGCCATGCATCCAATACTAACTATGCTGTAAAAGTCGACTAATCAGAGGTGTTTCTTTTGGAGTCAGATTGCATCTGCCTGAGAGATAAGGGACCAACAGTATGCATACAAAAAAGCTAGATCTGTAAAACAGATGCACACACAAAAACTCAAGTTCTGGAGCAAAAGACAGGAAGTCTTGTTACTTGCTGGTAGAAGGTCTAAACTCCAGTGCAGGATCTTCTTCTCAGCATTCAATGGCTGTAAACTACAGCATATAATTCTTGTTGCTCATCCACTTCTGGACTTTGGTCTTGAGTTTTCTGTGCGCATCAGTTTTACAAATTTGGCCATAGCTAGTGAGTTAACCATATGTGTCAATTCGTCTCCACCGAGAAAAAATGATTGACACATTCCGTTTCTGGAGATAAGCTTTTATCGAGTCTGTCTCTAGATAGTAGCAGTCGTTTGTGGATGAGAAATTCTGACTTATCTGTATGCATACTATTTGTTCCATACCTTTCAGGAAGATGCACTTTAATTAAGAATGAAACACTCTAAATTAGTTGCATTCTATGACATGCTTAAAAGGGAGGCGGTGGGCCTGTTCTTTTCCCCCATAAAATGGGGCTCAGAACCCACAAAGTGAGATATGGAAAAACAATAGGGGGGGGGGGGGGAAATTAGGGACAGGAAAACAAATCTAGAAGTATAATGTATCTGAAATTTTTTTAACTGTATGCTCTTCATTTCTCAGGACGGAGTCTGTTTTCTTCATTGCTGGGGTATACCCTTAGTCCACTACCTACATACACACACTTTCAAAGTAAAGCATTCATTTAAGAAAAAAAAAGAAAGTTTAGAGTAGGTATTTCCAGGCCAGTGACTGAGCAGAAGAACCAATTAATGAAATATAAAAAACATCATCAAACAAACTAGTAAACAAACAAACAAATAAGTAACCTGCATAAGCATTTCATCTGTGATCTCTACATGTCTAATGCCTGGGTCAGGCAGATTCCGCAATTCAGGTTTTGTATTCAGGATCTGCATTAAAAAAAAATCACACGTCTTAATTTTGCTGGGTCAAGAAAAAATGTCCACTTCTCAATGGGACTAAACAAAAAGGAGAGAAAATTATTCATGCTGACTTCCCCTAAGTGAAGGCCGGTGACTAGGATCATCTACATATGGTACTTGTAAGTGAAGGCCGGTGACTAGGATCATCTACATATGGTACTTGTAAGTGAAGGCCGGTGACTAGGATCATCTACATATGGTACTTGTAAGTGAAGGCCGGTGACTAGGATCATCTACATATGGTACTTGTAAGTGAGTCCGGTGACTAGGATCATCTACATATGGTACTTGTTGATGAAGGCTTTGGCTGAAAGTTTTGACCGTTTCTGTGCGCTTTCCTTCCTCCCATCATTGTACTTCCTAGTTCAGTGAATTCATTTTTAAAGCATTAATGCATTCCACTTCAGAGTTAAAACTCTGCTGTCTATTTTCCAAAAGATTCAGAAACAACAAAGTAATGATATCAACAACAACAAACATTAAAGACAACACACTACCTCGATGGCAGTGCCCAAATCATTGTTGGCTTGTCGGAGTGCCTCTGCTGCTGCCCCTGGTGGAAACTCCATGTCCACCAGACTGTCGTAGTGATCGACATTCACACTGAAACAGGCAATTGTTAAAAACACTTGTCACACAAAATAATTTAAAAAAAAAAAAGAATATTATGGATGGGCAGAAACAAAAATCTGACAGTCTAATACATTATCTTTTGGTACAATATTTATAACGTACCCCATACATGGGGAATCCGTGGGAATTCCACAGCTGACTTGACAGTCCACTATTTCAAGGGGTGTAAGTGTGCTGATTTTCTCTTCGCGTTCCCTGGCTGTAAACTCAGGCGGATAGCTCTGGATGTTCATCCACCTCCTGGACTGTAGTCTTGTTCCAGAACCTAACTGTTGCGTGTACACCATTTTCATAGATGTGGTTTATTTGTGTGCAGACTCTTGGTTTCTTGTTTCTCAGGCATATATACTCCAACTTCAAAGGATGCCCCTAATCAGACGACTCTTATGACATGCTTGTTGGGGAGGCTGTGGGTCTATTCTGCTTCCCCCCACAACAGGACACTGGAGCCCACATAGGGAAAACAATTTGAAAACTGTGAGCCAGTTTGAGGATGTGGAAGGTCAAGATTTGCTGCGAATGATATAAGGAAACTGACTGGAGAAATCAGATGTTGGATGGTCAAATTTATTATGAATGTGATGAAGATTGCAGAAATTTGACAAACAGTCAAAATTTTGTGGGCATGTCACAAGAAATGTGATATCAAAGTGAACAGTTCAAATTTACTAGGCAATTGAAAGGATTTTCAAGATGCCATGGAATGTTATGTAAAAGGACCCTTTCTGAGCCAATGGCCCATCACAATATGACATAACAAAAAAATATCACTTTCATCAAATGCCTTGCCAACTGACTTGGCTGATCATGCCTCTCCACAATTTACAATCTTCAACATCATGTATCAGTTCCTGTGCTGACACCTATCTGTGCCATGATGAAAGATTGTAATCATTTCACGTTGTCTTCCTGTCTTTTTTTCCAGTGGTCACCATATGTTTCAGTTTCTTTCTTCTTGTTACATGACCAAAATACATATACTATTACAAAATACAGTATAAGCTTGTCCACCTAAACAGTAGTGCCAATTCACTCTCCAGAAAGTTAAGGACTCTTTAAACACCTTAGTATTATTATTACTTAGACATGTATGTATACTTAAAGCATAACCCAGTAATTATAATTAACAATTAGATGTAAATGTGTACTACTTTTACGCTAACTGATATGTGAACTGAGTAAGGAATGTAAAGAATGAGACCAAAAAGGCAGAATGTAAGAATGACCTGCGTGCCTAAATTCTTAACGATTTGAAAACAAAGTTTGTTCATTTTTTTGTCGCATCAGGCATACAGTGCTAGACCTAGATTTTTATAGACCTATGGGCAATTTGATTGGTGAATTATCAACAACACAAAGTCATTATAACTGCCTGCATTTACCGTTCCATCTGTGCCTACAGAACATTTAGAAGTCTAAGATATAAATACATTTACCTAAAAATAGTAAGGAGGCTGGGGGGTGGGGGGCCCATGTAACTAAACAGCTTTTTGAAAGCCAAGCTTGGGTGAAATTTTCCTGTAAGCCTAAATTATAAGAGATCACAGTCACATCATGAGAAGCTGAAACATTTATTATTTGTAGTCCTGGGAAAAGTACTCCATTAACGCTTCATTCTGTGATGTTTACCGATCACATCTTTACATCTTTTAATAAATCTTTAAATGTCAACAAGAATTTCCAAAATTGAAGATAAACACACTCCCAAAAACTGATTAATGAACTGTGTCAAATTAAAAAAAAATGTTTAAAGGTTTGTTTTGGGAATTTTGACGAAGTCATAACAAATTTATTTTTAATTCATCATTCCCGGAGTAACTGGGTTAAAGTTATATGCACACACACACAAAAAAAAGAAAGAAATCCAGGACTTACGGCTCTCCTCCAGCTGTTTTGCCAAGTTTCTTGCTCTGAACTCTTCGATTCCAATCCTTTTTGGCATGCTTGTTTGCTTCCTCATGTTTCTGTGATTGGTGGGGAGGGAAAAACAAGCGAGATTATATTTAAAAAAAAGAAGTCCTGATTGTGATTCTCATGCTCAGGCAAATGGCGACCCTAAGGAATGCAATCTACTATAAGCCGACAGTACTTTAAATGCTGACTTTAGGAGACATAATCCATTGTCCGTGTAAGTTCACATAATATTATTCTTTAATATTCAATATTGTTTGAGGTTAGAGTTAAGGCTAACCCTAACCCAAATCATAACCTGAAGCAATATTGAATATTACACAACATTATTATGTGAACATACACAAACAACAGATTGTGTCCCTTGCAGTCACCGTAAAGAAACAATAGACTGCATTCCTCAGGGCTGCCACTTGAAATTTTGCTGCATTCTTGCCAAAGAATACTTCTGTTACAATCTAGCATTCTTGTGCAAGAAAATTTTGTTACACTGTGTAAAAGTTGATGGCAGAGCAAAACGAAAATGAATAGGAATGACTGATTTCACCCTTAATACTTTATGTGATGTGACGAAAAAACATTTTATTTTCAAAGGGTTAAAACCTGGGCATGCAAGCCTACCTAACATTTTGCCTTTGCTAGGAATGATAATCTGGTTACACACTGTTTCATTTATAGGCTGCCCTGTTTCTCAACTTAGAAACACAAGAACAAAGAGACCCACCCTTTTCAGCTCCACAATGTAATCAACAGCCTGGGAGACATTGCCGTTCTTCGCCCTGAGACCCAGTCTTGCCTCTCTCTCTGTGAACCCCATGAGCATAACTGGAGATAAAATCAGAGCAATGAAATGTTAACAACAGTTAGTTAACAGACTAGTTATCCTCACTGCACCCTTCCATAAGCGCTCAAATCCCACCTTCAGTATCTGCCCCTCCCCCCAGGTGTGGTGACTAATAATACCAGTTCTGTGTTGGTTTACTATTCTTTTTTGGCTGTCTATAGGTTCATGTGTGGTGAAACCCCTTGTGACCTGAAGTTCTTGTAGTCTTTTGAATGTTGCTGATTCAATGTAGTCTCCTGAATCATCTACTTGTCCTGCTTTGTTCAGAGCACTGAGAACATTGGTTCAGCCCATTTACCTAGCACAGCCCAACCAGCAAACCTATGCGCTCATTCATTCCTTCTCACCCAAGAGTGCCCTGGCACAAAAAATGAAACCAATTCCTGTCGGACGAGATTTCCTCAGAGACTCCAACCTATCCTGTTTCGATCTTCTTAAGCATGCTCATAGAATCACTGAGCACACAAGGGAAAAATTATGTGCCTCTAGCCACATTACTGCTTCTGATATTGTCATCACCTCTATTGTCAGACTACTTGTAGTTGAGGCAAAAGCTATCAGCTGTTACAGGAAATAATGTTCAGGTTATATTTTAAAAAGACTGGAAAAACAACATATCTGTTAGCTTTACAGGACTAATCACAGCAGACACAGGATGTTACGGTGATTAATCTTCATCAGCAAAACGGCGACAAAAAGAAGACACACACACAAAAATTAAGTGATTCTGAAATAACTGCTTTTTTTTTTTTAGATCTCTATACTTTTACTGCAGTCACCTTATTTCAACATATGTCATCAATTTTATATCACTTTTTAGAAAAATATTTAATAACAAAGTGACTTAGAATCTGAATATAATATGCTTACTTTTAATGTTTATGTTACCACAAATAGCAAAGGGGCACACAGCTGCACATTTTTGTTACCGTTTATGTTATGTAACAAAGTGGCAGGTAACTTTAAAAATAAAATTTTTATGGTTAATGTTTATGACACATTAAACAACAAACGGTGAAAATAATTCTCTTATTGTTAATACATATGTTATATTACATAGCAACTGGGCACATAACTTAAAAAAAAAACATTACTGTTTTATATTCAGTTGCTGCATGTTTAATTTATTAACACAACTAGAAAAACATTTTCGAACCTTCATTCAACTGGGTTTCATCAACATGCAGCAATGTCAGGACAAATTCCGCCTGTGGATAGACACAAATATTTATATAATCTTAACCTCATTTATACAATAACATCACAATGTTCTAGATTCCTAGCTCTATTTACACAATAATATCACAGTGTTTTAGTTTCCTAGCTCTATTTACACAATAATATCACAACATTCTACATTGCAAGCACTATTTACACAATAACATTACAATGGTATAAATTCCTAGCTCTATTTACATGATAATAGCACAATGTTCTAAATTCCCAGCACTATTTGCACAATACCATTACGATCTAAATTCCTAGCACTGTTTACACATCATGTGTAAAATCATAGCACCATAAACATATTCCATTGACACAACATATCGTCAATGCCCTGACTCACCCACATGAATTTCTAATTCTATTTACACAACATATCGAAATCTAATTCTTCAGCATTCCGAGCCTTGAAGGTTTTCTGCTACAGATATCGCCCATCTGCGCTCATCTCTGTGCTCTCTTTCCAGGTGATCACTCCAAGTGTTGGCATGTCTGCCTTGATATTATCTCTCCTCCCTCCTTCGAGGCCTTCCCAGTGGTCTAAGGTAATTCAACTCCCTTGGGTACATAGTTTTTGCCTCTTTGTCATCTGCCATTCTCTCAACCTCCATCTGTCCACACAAGTTCCCAGTTCTATTTACATAACATCATAATCTCCACCTGTCCATATTCTTAGCTCTATTAACACAATACATCATCAAAATACCCACTTGTCCACATAAATTCTTAATATTATTTACTAAACACATCAAAATTTCCACAAATTCTTAGTTCTGTTTACACAGCATATCAAAATTCCTAGTTCTACTCATACAACACAAGATCCTGACCTGCCCATGAACACTTCTTATTCTATTTACACAAAACATCCCAATCGTTAGTTGTCAAAGCAAACAGTGAGCTCTACTGAACACAGGCCACCAAACGGTGAGCCATAATAAACACTGGCCACCAAACTGTAAGCCTCACTGAACACAGGCCACGAAACTACTTACCCGTCCAAATAAATTGCGAGCATTGATCAAATCTCCCTTATGGAATGCAACAATTCCTTGCAGAAGATACAGTCTCATGAACAAAGCCTGCTCAGTACCAGTCCCACCCTACGGATACAGTTAAAAGACAACAATAAAATTACACATCATAAACACACAAGGACAGTAACAATACATAAACTGCAATATCATGAACGTTTGTAATCTATGGCATTATTTCAAAGTTGGAAACAAATTCTGTTCCATAGTTGTTGTTCAGGTACATCAAAAATCTGGCCAAAGATGACACCTTTTCCCAGTAATGTCTTCATTACATCATAATATGATGTCACTTTGTAAAGTCAACAAAATCATATTTCTCATGGTCGAAGGAAAAGAAAGCAGTCAATTCCTTGCTCAGTTTGTATTAAGAGATTAATTCCCTTACTAAAAAAAAAAAATTATTTTAGTAATTTGATGGCCATGATGTAAACTTTAGACGTTATGCTTGAAGTCTGCTCAGTGATCTAGGGGTTTGACTCTCTGGATGTTTATAAAAACTGCCCAAGGCTCTAAATTCCACCAGCTTCTTCTTCTCTTCCTCTAATTACTAGGGCAGAGTTTCAGAGAATTATAAGGATGAATTTTTTTCTTGATGATTTAAAAAAAAAAAATTTTTTTTGGGGTAAGATTTCTATGGAGCGAAAAAGTTAAATAAACCATTCGCCAGGGAAACTGAGCCCTAGTATTTGAAGATCATGAAACTGTTTACTGCATTCACTAACTCTAAGCCACAGAAGCACTATCTCTTCTTTGCCTTTCCCAAGGCCACTAGCAACTTTAATGATTTTATATTAACTTTACTAAAATTGTAAGGGTTCATTTTCTCATTGCTGGTAAATTCTTTCGTTACTCAAAAATGAGGACAACTACGAAACATAAATTATGAGCTAGAGTCTGGATGAATGGCATTATTTCTTAATTATTATGTATGCATGAATAAATTGAGTATTTGATACCAACTGGAGGCAAACAAGCAGTTTCGTTGAAGCGTGCCAAATGAAGGAAGAAAATCGTGAGTAAAAATTCTCAGAGCACGAGAGCGAGAAGAGGTTAATTAAGCTTTGAGCGAATGAGAAATTCAGTATTGTTTCAATCTAGTCTTGTGTGGCATTTGGAATGCCTGAACTGTACACATCCTGAGAAAAACGAGTTTGACTGTGTTCAAGCCACCAGCCTGATGAAACCGGGCTAATCAATCCATAACAACAACGAGATTGTCTGCTGAGCTGTGCAGTTTATGAATGCTGATTAGGGAGCAATGAGCATATGAGATGTACTGACCGTAAGGATCATGTGCAACTGACCATAGTAAGAAGAATGTATTTGAACATAGCTAGTTCCCTAGACAACAAATCTCTGGGGCATTGAACAAGAGGAACATTGTTAGAGTAATAAACAGTTGTTTGGTGTTTCTCAATGTTTGTTTATATCCAAGCTTGCTGCATTAAAGTATCTTTAATGTATTGAAGCAGGCTGTACGATTACAGCCAAGAGAGTAATTGCAAAAGCTAACTCCTCCATCTCTTCCCCTCACCTCTACTGCAGGTAACTGCTCCATCTCTTTCCACCACCTGTATTAAAGGTAATCACTATATATTTTCATCTCGTTCTGTTAAAACTAACTGCTGCACCTTTTTATTTCCCTCAACTAAAGGTAACCACTCCACTTTCTCACCCCACCTCTATTAAAACTAACTGCTCTATCTTTTCACCTCACCTTTATTGAAGCTAACCGCTCCATTTTTTCACCATAGCATCGCTTGAAACATTCTTCACTTTTACTGAGTCTGATCTCTGAAACACAAAACCCCAGTATGAGGTAAATGAGAAATACTCAGATCGTTACATAACACAGCATAAGCTTGACAGCCCAAAAAAGTGGTCCAAGTTTAATCTTCAGAAGTGACAGTATTTTTTTCCTTACACTTTGGAGGTGACACAGCCTGATAAAAACACCTCTCTGTGGTAACTGGTACCAAAGCATCAAAAATAATCTTGCATTGTGAGATATGAGAAGGCAGAGGCTCTCAAGGTGGCTCGAAAGAGAACGCTTCAGAGTTGCCAAGGATCGCTCAAAGTTTTCAATATAAACTGCTCTTAGGGAGGCTGCTGTACAAGATCGAACTACACAGCAAATGTCTATCCAAAAAAGTGTGATTTGTAAATAATCTAGCAAAGGGGCAGTTGAACAGTGCAGGCAGGCGGCAGGCTAAAAAGACCTGTATAACAAGCCCTTTACCCACAGACACTGTTCCCTACCCTCATTATCCTAGATCTCACAAGGCCCTAGTTAGGCTTATAAGTCACCTCGGACTCAGACATTCAACTACAGTTTTGTGTCAAACGAAAGAAGGATTGGTCCTCATCACTTAGAATGGATGAACAACATAGCCTGAGCATTCTCTTGAGATGGCCAAACCATTTCATCTACTATCTTTTATTGAAATACATAACAAATTTCAACTCCATATGATTCTTAAATGGTACATGAAGACCCAATTTTTAAAGCCTTCTTCACATTCAGCACTGACCCTTCCTGAACCAACAGCACCATAAAATCACAGACGCCACTTACCCGCATCAGGTAACTGGTCCAGGTTTTTCAGACTCAAGTAACACCAGACAATATCCAGGCACAGTATTGCATAGTTATCCGTGGCCTGAAGCAGCTCTGAGCGACATTTTCTGTCAATTACAAACAGAATTTAGTAACCAATATGTCTTCTTCTACTTGAACGTTTTGGGTCTAAATCTGCAGTGAGACAGATTTCATTCAAAACTGACCTTGGTTGCCCGAGTCTAAAATGGGTATCAGACAAACATATATGTACATAGTGGAGTTCCAAGGTCACTGAAGGCAGTCCCGCAACAACTGCTTTGTTCCTGTGCCACTAGAAATCACAAACAATGCCCTTTACTATCCCACCTGAAAAATAGTGACAACCTGTCAGTCCCAGCAAAGCTCTGAAGCTTGCACACACAAAGTAAAAATGCATAAAGCAGCTGTCAGATGTGCCAACACATTATAATGGTCCCAAACCAGAACTACAGCCTACTGTTGGCGAAAAAAAATCAATTATGAAAGAGGTATTTCAGCTGCAAAAGTATATGCAAATCTGTTAACAATGGTCTGGAAAGTAATGGGCGGACAGCGTGATGCTGCCTGCATCACTAACAGAGTAGAGTAATGGCTGATCTATAATGAATCCAAAATATATCCCCAGTGTACCACTAGGATTTAAAAAAAAAAGGGAGGGAAAAGATTTTTTTTACTTCCTCCAGTAGCTAGCATACCTGCCTGTATGCCCAAAGGTCATGTGTTTTGATCTCTAGAAAGCAGATTTAAAAAATGTCAATGGGTTCCCCAATCAATACAGGCTAACACTGAGCACAGACACATTTTCTAGTAAGTGATGGCAATGGTTGTGACACTTACTAAATAACCCAGAGTGGTGACTGGCATATAGAAAAATGAGATGAGGATCACAAAACCAATATAGCACAAGACCTTACTTTGATATTACTTTAAGTTCATTCTGAGATGCCATCTAAACTGACAGTCATATACAAACTGCTGAGATAAGGTCAACTATCTGAACTGACAGTACACATACAAACTGCTGAGATAAGGTCAACTATCTGAACTGACAGTCACATACAGACTGCTGAGATAAGGTCAACCATCTGAACTGACAGTACACATACAAACTGCTGAGATAAGGTCAACTATCTGAGCTGACAGTACACATACAAACTGCTGAGATAAGGTCAACTATCTGAACTGACAGTACACATACAAACTGCTGAGATAAGGTCAACTATCTGAACTGACAGTCACATACAGACTGCTGAGATAAGGTCAACCACCTGAAATGACAGTCATATACAGACTGCTGAGATAAGGTCAACCATCTAAACTGACAGTCATATACAAACTGCTGAGATAAGGTCAACTATCTGAACTGACAGTACACATACAAACTGCTGAGATAAGGTCAACTATCTGAACTGACAGTCACATACAGACTGCTGAGATAAGGTCAACCACCTGAAATGACAGTCATATACAGACTGCTGAGATAAGGTCAACCATCTGAACTGACAGTACACATACAAACTGCTGAGATAAGGTCAACTATCTGAACTGACAGTACACATACAAACTGCTGAGATAAGGTCAACTATCTGAACTGACAGTCACATACAGACTGCTGAGATAAGGTCAACCACCTGAAATGACAGTCACATACAGACTGCTGAGATAAGGTCAACCACCTGAAATGACAGTCATATACAGACTGCTGAGATAAGGTCAACCATCTGAACTGACAGTACACATACAAACTGCTGAGATAAGGTCAACTATCTGAACTGACGGTACATATATAGACTGCTGAGATAAGGTCAACCATCTGAACTGACAGTACAGATACAAACTGCTGAGATAAGGTCAACTATCTGAACTGACGGTACACATATAGACTGCTTAGGTGAGGTCAACCATCTGAACTGACAGTACACATACAAACTGCTGAGATAAGGTCAACTATCTGAACTGACGGTACACATATAGACTGCTTAGGTGAGGTCAACCATCTGAACTGACAGTACACATACAGACTTCTGAACTGACGGTACACATATAGACTGCTTAGGTGAGGTCAACCATCTGAACTGACAGTACACATACAGACTTCTGAGATTAGATCAAGCACATAACCCGTTTCTCCCAAATTACCTGTCAGTAATCATACCTAAACTCATAGTACACACAGACGGGCTGAGATAAGGCGCAGCACCTGTACCCCCTGTCAGTAACCCCACCTGTAGCCCTCAACATTTACCAGGGGTTGATTGCCGCAGTGGTACGAGAGTTGCACCGTGAAAGAGATTGTGTCCTCACCACATAATATTCTCCTAGCTAGTGAATAAACAGCAGCCAATCTCTATTGTGGAGATGGCATATACTTTTTGGTAACCCTACCTGAACTCTGCGTCCGCTTCCAGAAATAAAGGCAGGGCCAGCGAGATCTTCTTCTGCTTCAGGGCAGCTCGACCTTTCTCATAAAATGTCATGGCCACGGTAAGCGCCTGCAATACAAGACAACTGGTCAGCATTTACGATCTTTTACTTGATCAACAGTTTGTGTTCCCTCAATTTGTTTATCCCACCTAAATTTTCACCGCTCGTCTCTTCTTTGACCTGTTTCTTCTTACAGACCATGCCTTGTAGCGACTGTAGTCGTACCTATTTCGGCCCCTGAGCTTGATATAGTGTTTGAAATTTTTTTTTAGGGCTCGGTGGTAGAGGGCAGCAAACTGAAGTCCTGTCTGTTCTGGACCTGGTACCTGAGAGGGTTAGGGGAGAGAGAGAGAGTCATGAAGAGAGAGGAAGACACATACTGAGGTAGGCTGGGAGAGACAGTGTAAAGATGGACAGATGAAGGTAGAGAAAAGAAGGAAAAGAAGTCTGGGGAAGGAGGAAAAAATGAGAGGGAGGGATGGAGACATGATGAGGAAAAGTGGGGAAGGGACAGCGAAAGACAGAGAGGGAGACAAATACAGAAAGAGGGAATGCAGATACAAAGATGGGCAGATGAAAAGAGAAGGAAAAAGGGAACGAAACAGAGATATGGTAGGAGGAAAATATGACAAAGAGTTGAAAGAAGGGAGACAGAACGGACAGGGTGAGAAGCAGATGCAAGCAGAGAGAGATGTAGACATAAAGGAGAGAGAGACAAAGGGACAGCACAGAGAGGCAAGCAGACAGAGGGAGAGAACCAAAGAAAGAGAAAAAAGGCAGAGCAGGAGAATGGGAGGGAGGTATACAAAGAGGAAGTGATGAAGGGAGGCAAACAGACATAAAGCAAGAGAGAGAGAGAGAGGTGGGTAAGGAATGCAGTGACAAACACAGATTAAGAGAGAGGGGCAGGAAGGAAGACAAGATACATCAAAGAAAAAAAAACAGCCACCTACTCCCCCCCACACAATTTCAAGTGTAGTGGACACAACCACCAGGAAAAGATAGTTATGGGGCAAAAAAATACGTAGATGAACCAGTAAAAAAAATGAGGGGGGGGGGGGGGGTGCCAAAAATAGAATTAGGAAATCTCTAAGTGAGGCCACTTTTCCAGTTCCTACCCTCTCCCAATGTGAATGTGGCCGTGGTCCATAAACAACAGTGCTAACCCCTACTGCCCCTTGCTAGTCCTATCTGTGTGTGACAATAATTCAATTTCTTACACTTAAGGCTGGTGACCTGAGAGCCAAGGTCATTTTATAAAGAAAAAAAAAGTCCAGGGGATCCCAACCCACCACTGGTGGAAAATAGAGAAGTTTACCCACACACATAAATAGGTCAGACACATAAATAGGTCAGGGCAGCAGTGGACTTTGTTTTATTTCTGGTTTTCCAATTACAGAAAGGAGGGGAGAGAGGAGGTGGTGGAAAGTGGTGTAGAAGGCTGATGTGGTAAGGGTGAGACAGAGGAGGTGAGAGAATAAAGTTTAAGAAAATAAAGTGGGAATGAGACATGGAGAGAAAGAAGGGAGTAAGAAATAAGATGAGATATAGAGGGAAGAAGGTAGCAGGAAGGGGTGCACTCCCTCCCCTAGGTGTCATCAATGTGGGAGGAGAAAAGGGGGGGGGGGGGGGTGACGGCAAATGTGTTTTTAAAAGTACACATATATTTAATGTGTGGGAGGGGGGAATGGTGGACATGAAATGTTCTGCACTAGGCAACACATAACCTTCTACACCAACTGAAGGTATGGAGAAAGAAAGAGAGAGAGAGAGAGAGAGAGAGAGGGAGGGAGTGAGGGAGAGTGGCAAATACAAAGAGAAAGAGAGAGAGGAAAGCAGTGACACAGACAGGCAGAGAGTGAGGAACAGGTAGGACAAAATGTGAGGGGGCGGGAAGGGAGATGGACAGAGATTAAGGCCGCTAGGAAAACAAACACATCAAAAGAAAATATCCACCATGTTCACACAGAATGCCCCCCCCCCCCAATACAACTTCCTGTGTACTTGAGTTGCTAGGAAGAGTTATGGAGCCGCACATTTACTAAACATTTAAACAAGAAATAAAATAGGAAAAAGGGGGAGGGGGGACAGGAAATGAGAGAGTAAAAGGAAAGATAGAGAGAAAGAGAAGAAAATGAAGATCAGAAGGGAGGGTTAGAGACAATGCAGGAGACGGGAAGGAAGGAGCAATAGGTAGAAGAGTGAAAGAGGGAGGGAAGAGAGAGAGAGAGAGGGGTGAGACAACAGAAGAGGGAATCTCGGGGAATTACAATACTGCTGATCGCCAAACACACTGTAAAGATAAATCCAGGCCAAAAATAGAACTGGGAAATCCAGCTGCAGTCACTTTGCTTAGCCCCAATGCCATCTCTAATTAATAGAGAAGGCCATGCTTAGCCCCCACGTTATCCTTTCTAGAAACCACGGCCATAAACGATTTATACTGTTCATTCTGCCCAGACTTGCTAGAAACAAAGGCACACACACACACGCGAGACGGAAGCTGATACTTCCTGCCCCATGCCACACCGCTGCTGTCTGCATGTATTCATGATCTGCAACACAGCCCGCCCTCCCCTGGCCTTTAACAAGCCATTTCGGCTGAAAATAGCCAATAATCAGCTGCCCTCACACCTGAAACGACCATACAACGAAAGTAGCCAAAAACTAGCCAAATGGCTCCCCCAAAATTGCCTGTGCTGAAAAACACAGGATTTCTGACGATTTCATTGCCGCGGTCAAAATTCAAGGCTTTTCAAGGTCGGAATGTCTTTTATAAGCTAAAAACCACGGTTCAAGGTCAACGAAAAAAATCCCGGTAATTTCCCAGTCCACTACGAACCCTGAACTTCTTAAAAAGACTTCTTGTTATGTTTTAAAGGTTGAATATGCACTTGTAACAAAATTCAACATTTCGCTGAAAACAATGTTTGTAATGGCTCTAATCAATTTCAAACATAGGCACACACATCCTGGAATAATAAAAATATCAGGATGAAGCTTAATTCAAATGCTATCATTAAGGCCATCTGTTTGCATTCTACGTCACTATAAATTTGACTATCATCGAATTAGGTCAGCGTTAAAGAAAAGAATATAAACTTATATATTATAAAACAGCACACAGGAGAGCCTAACATCCGCCCTCAACACTTCGATGAGTTAAGTGGAGGAAGAAAAGACAAGAAGATAAGCTAACAAATAAAGCATGCACATAATGACCTTCTTCTCCTCCTTTGGTAACATCAATGGTTTGCCAGTTTGGTCTGCTATCTGTATGTCAAAATCTTCATCATCTGCAAGAAGTATTCCATGGTTGAACCACATGACTTTACAATTTTGTTATTACCTTTCACTCGTAATATAAAACAGGGATAGCAACTAGCTAAGCGGTTAGAGCACAGTTCATGGCGATTGCACCATCCGTGTGGCCTTATACCCTCAGGCTTGTGCCTTCTCTGCCCTACACCGGCCTACAATGGTAAATACAGGTAGTAAAGATAGTTTTTTCCTGTAATATGTAACATGGCAAAATGGTTATTATTTGACAGGAAGTCTCACTGGATAAGGGGTTAAGTCGTCTGCCCCACACTATGAAGGCCATGGGTTTATTTCACAGAGCCCGTCATTCGTTTTATGAGTGCAACTTTTACAGAGATTACTGCAGATGACTTCTGTTGCTATGGAGTTCACACTGAGATGATCTCAACTGGCCATATGCAGCACAAAAATCTGGCACATTGAAGTCCTTGTTAAACTTGTTTGTGTTATAATATGTCACACAGGGCTCACAGTTTATTCTTCCAATCCTTTGTATCCAGTGCAATTGTTTTAATATGAATGGATTCCAGGTTCCCCATGTGTGCTCCAAGACCTCACTTCAGGGAAGTGTATGTGTGTGTGTGTATGGGGGGGGGGGGGGGGGTAGTCGATTATCATGTTGTAAAAAAAGTGACTAATTATGCCTGTTTTCTCTGAAGAAGGAGTGCATCTGTCTGAGAAGTGAGGAACCAACAGTCTGCATATGAACAAGCCAGTACTGTCATATGGATGTGCAGGCAACACTCAAGATCTGGAACTGGATTAAAGTAGAAAAATGGAGGAACACTCAGAATTTACAGCTGGTGAATGATAAGAAGAATAATCCAGTCCACCCCCTGTGATGTCTCTCATTTCTCGTGTGGGTCCCGGGGCTCTCATTGTGGGATAAACACTGCCCCCTTAACTAGCACGTTGTAGGAGTCGACTAATTAGGGGTTTTCTCTAAAGTCAGAGTGCATCTGCCTGAGTGGCAAGGAACAACCAGCTGCACACAAATAAGCCAGTAAAACAGATGTATATGCATAACTCAGGTCTTGACACAAAGTCCAAATGGATGAACAACCAGGACTTTCTGCCGGAGATTACAGCCGATAAACAAAGAAAAGAAGACGATGCCTCTCATCAATGTTCATCCTTGGGTTTCTCTAAAATACCCTCATTCCCCCGTGTGTTATCGGAACCCTCAGGGGAAGCAAAGAACAGTGACACTGCACCCTACCAGGCATGTCGTAAGAGGCGACTAAGGCTAGGGTTGGGCACCTCATCCTGTAAAAACAATAGCCGCAAAAACCACGGATAGCACAATGTCGTGTGGTTCGCCTGTTATGCCATGAGTTCCATATTTTGTTCAGATTTTAAAAAATTGCTGTCACCTTGTTAGTAAGTATCATAATGACATCTACATCATCTCGAAATTAACTAAAGTACAGATGCATATATTACCATCTTCTCTGGAAGACAGTAACTCCGCTGCATGTCGTGTCTTCTCCACCTCTATCAACTCAGCTTCTTTCTGTGCTATTTTTGTATCAGACGATGACATCAACATAGCCATGACATCACTGCCATTCTGAAATGTATTCAAATAACAGGTTTGAAGTTTTGAACAACGGATCAACATCATGGCTCACAGGTAGTAACCCATAAGTGCTCCGCTCTTCTTCTAACTCAAGCCGGAGTCCCAAGAAGCTCAGCACAGTGCACAGGCTCTGTAGCACCGGTGAGGATCCTGAAATACTCCGGGTAAATTTTGAACTCCAAATTTTGCCCGGGCAGCACCGTTAAGGCTTGTCTTTTTAATTTCCAACTACCAAGGGATTTTTTACATGCGCAAGAATGCACACAGGTGTCCGATCTTACCACCCAGAGACCAGGGGGAATTGCTAGAAGTCCGTCCACGTGAAAAAATCCCAGCCCTTACAGGGGATTGTACCCAGAACCTTTAGCACTCGAGGTGGGCACCATGCCTTGAGATCACGCAGCACCCTATTTTACAATTACAAAAATTATGGTACATAAGTCAAGTTTTCAAGCCTAAACTATAGTTCCAAAACCAGATGTTGACTTACAAGTCAAGAACAAGTGAAGAGCCCCTTCAGGCCAGTGGAACAATGAGCATATTAGGCTAGACTCATACTTGTACAGACCAAGCCATAATCAATAGGCAATGTAGTCAACCGGCCGCCTTTACTTCCTAGGTACCCATTTAACGCTGAGAGCTAAGGTTATGTTTTAAAAACAAATCCAAAACCAAGTGGATTAGAACTCACAACCTTCGGATCCACAGGTCACCTTCTAGCTGCTACACTACGGTGGCTACTATTGACTTACATGGCAAATAAAAGATGTGTTAGGTAGGTACAGGCCTAGTTTAAATTTTGAGCTATCTTGAGGTCAACTTGTTCAAAATGATTAGCATTCCCAAATTGTTATGAAAGTCGACTTTATTACAAGCTAGTGTGGACAACGTCACAATTTTACTAGTAAAAGTACTTATAATTCTAAGGGCACTCACAAGCTTACTAGCACAGGCATGTTACAATTATATTAGCAATCGCACTGTTACAATTCTACGAATAAGGACACAGTTACCATTCTACCAGTACAGGCTCTGTTAACCAAGACAAGCATTGTTACAATTCTACAAGCACCACAAGCTAGAACACTGTTACAACTCTTACAGCTATGCCTTGGTCATTTAGACATCTATTCTCATCCACTATTCTGCCCTGACAAATGAGCTTCAAGAGAGATGCCTGAATGCTCTGTTGACTGGCTATCAGAGTCTTCAAGTCAGCTCCTGTTATACCCAGACTGCATTCAAGAGGGAAAGCCTTTCTGGAAGACTTCTGTAACAGAAAAAGCATTACATATAATAATTAATAAGTCAATAATGATTTACTAATTATGAGCAATCATTTGATAGCTACCACACATCACAGTGTGAAAGCTGCTGTAGCCTAGATTCTTGCCTCTCAGCCTGAAAGTCTAGGGTTCAGAACCATATCGAGGCTGATGATTTTTCTTCAAAATTTCACTTGGCTCCAGATCAACCCAGCCTAAAATAGGTACCAGGTAAGAACCTGGGAAGTCAAGATAACCAGAGTGATGTTGATCACTTCACTCAAGGGCTCAGCGGTCAATATATTAACAAATATGAGCCCAGAATCTCATGTCCAATATATCACTGGCATAAAAAGAGTCAGTTTATCTTTTTAATTATACATCTTGTTTTGCTTTTTCTATCTTCTGTCTCATGTGCTACTACAACTACTAACACTACTACTGTCTGAGTTAGTTATGCTTCTACTTCTGGGTTGTGGCTGTAAGCTCTGGCAGAAAGTCCTGGTTGTTCATCCATTTGAACTTTGGTTTTGTGTCCGCACCTGAGTTCTGCTTGTACATCCATTTTACTGGCTTATTAGTGCGCAGTTGGTTGTTCCTTGCCACTCGGGCAGATGCACTCTGACTTTGAAGGAATCTCCCAATGAGTTAACAACCAAGACATACTTTTGTCGGGAGGCAGTGGGTCTTTTCTTGCTTTCCCCACAATGGGGTTATGGAACCCACATAGAGAAGTTAGCTGGGCGACAGATTATCCTCACTGCACATGAAACCATTCAGTCCACAAGTGCTCATATCTCCTCCTCAGTAAATCCTGCAGCATGTCATGGCTGACAAGACACTAGTTCTGTGTTGGTTTCTTATTCTGTGGCTTCCAGCAAATTGCTTTTGTCTGACTACATCTCTTTTAACATGTTGTTCTTGCAGTCTGGTCAATGTTGCAGATTCACAGTTATCACTTGGTTCTGGCAAAGGTCTCACTTCTCGTAGAGCATTTAGAATATTAGCCTGGTCCATGGCTCGCCCCCCCCCCCCCTTCTTACTAGCTTTACCTGCCAGTCTAAGCTACTATAATTACTGTTATTCATGCTAGCACTATTACTCTTACTGATTCTATTACTGCTAAGGATGTTATTATCATTACTGCCATTATTAATATGCTGCTTCTGTGACTGTTGCTAGCACTATTACTCTTACTGATTCTATTATTATTACTGCTAAGGATGCTATTATCATTACCAGCATTATTAATAATGCTGCACGTTAGCAATTTTCCATCTTCCACTATGCTACAGAAAGGCGTGGGAATCACAGATCATGGTGATGGTCGACTCACTTGCATTAGGAAGAATCTTCCATAAAAAGTGCATGCCAGGACCATTGTCCCGATCATGTTCTTCTCAGATGTTCAGCTTCTACCCTATCTTCTACCCCTTTCTCCTGTATCCCCTATACTTTCATAATTTACCCTCCTTCAATGTGATAGCTGGCGTCCTGTTTCCACACCCCAATACCTGAATCAGTCATGTTCCACAGGAACATATCTTAATTCCGTAAAAGAGATCAGGTCACATATGATTCCTCCACTTTGCTCTGTTGCATGCAACTTTCTCGATATCTGACATGGAGTTCAGCATTTATAGCCTCTCGCAATAATGTCTTCTTATTGTTTCCTCTGGATGTCCTCTTCTTCTTATACCACCTGTTTCCCATTTCAGTGCTCATTTTGTATTTCTTTGCTCATTTTGTCTCAGAGTGTGCCTAATATTTCTCCACCTTCTTTGTTTTGTTGAAGTCGATACCGGTATCGTCCAGACATTTCCCTGATCTCACTTTTTTTTTAAAACTTCATCCCATTTTATTTTCAGACATTTATTTTCAAATGTATTTAACTTTCGTTGGCATATGTTAGAATTGAAATAACATTAGTATTGAAGATTCATAGTCTGGTCTTAAAGCTGTTTAACTTGGAGATCCATATTTTGTTAAGGCTTCTAAAGATAGTTGTTGCTTTGCCAGTGCGTGTCATAATTTCCTTTGGTATATCTCACTGAGAGTCAAAATTGCCCCCCAAATAGGTGAAATGGTCCATTATTTTTCTTGGTTTCCTCTCTAGATAACATCTCCATGATCTGTTATTGGTATCTTTACTATATTTATTCTCTCATTAATTATCTGTTGTTCTAGCGATCTGTAATTCAACATAGAGGAAGTCCTTAGGAACTCTACTATCCTCCATTCACCAAGTGTGTCTTACAGGTTAAAATCCAGAGGATCAACTTCATTGTACAGGGTTTTATCCCATATGGCTCAATCTCTCTCCATGGAGGGGCTAGCTGCCTGCCAAGAGTGTCGCAGAGCACAAACATCGCAGCTCCGGTGACAATTTGAAAAGTGCACATGTTAAATGAACACGTAGCCACAAAACAAACTCATGACCTTCTGAATGCAAAACAAACAGCTTGCCTACTTTGCCATGGAAAACCCAAAGTGTGTCTTAGCCATCTGCTACCAGACTATAACCAGTTTCTTGGACAATACCACTACCAATGTGAACAGTGCTATTTAGGGCACTTTCCGAAACCCAAACAAATGCGCTGTGGTCACAAAGTTAAAAAGTTAAAGTCGAGAGGATCTACTTCATTGCAGTGGGTTTTATCGGATATGGCTCAGTTTCTCTCTACAGAATGGCTAGCCGCCTGCCGAGAGCATCACACACAGCACAAACTCCATAGCTCTGGTGACGATCTCCAGAAATCTCTGTAAAAAATACACTCGTGAACTGAACGACATAGCCCTGAAACGAACCCATGACCTTCATAGCAGGAGGCAAACGGCTTCACCACGGAGACCCCCGGTGATCACAAAACGTCTACTAGTATTGCTGAAAGAAATGACCCCTTAAAAAAAATTGTTGGTACTGAGTACTAACGCATGCTGGCAGAAAAAAAAAGCCCTTGTCCTACTACTCTTAAACTATAATTACCCCATTTGGTAACAATCCAGTCAGTTTCACCCGCAACGTTGCAATGCCCTGTGTCTGAAATTTTTCTCTCTCCTCAAGTTTGCTCAGTGCTCTGAGCCGAAGATCCTCAAGCCCATCAGCAATCTCATCAGGCGAGAACTTCAGCTCCTGGCTGTACTTACTAATCAGCTCCTAGGGATAAAGACATTACAAGAAAACATTAGGTAATGTGATTCAATGAATATGCTCAGGAATATAGAGATGGGTTGGGTCCGGAAACAGCTGTTGGTTCTCCGAGGCTGTCGGGGCTGACAAAGATCAGTTTTATTTCACGCCAGGGCTTACAGGAATGCAAGGAAATAAGCAAGCTGACAGGCTACTGCAAAGGGTGGACGAGCCATGGACCAGGCTAATGTACTAAATACTCTATGAGAAGTAAGACATCTGTAAGAACCAAGTGACTGTGAATCTGCAACCATAACCAGACTACAAGATTGGCCAGTTAAAAAAGGGTGTGGCCAGACAAGAGCACTATGCAGGAAGCCAGAGAAGAATAAGAAACCAACACAGAAATGGTGCAGTCAGCAGCTATACGCTGCAGAATTTACTGAGGGGATCCGAACATTTATGGACTGAGTGGTTCTATATGCACAGAGGATAATCTGTCGACCAAATAACTATTGAGAGATGTAAGCAAACAGTTCAGCCGGGTGTATAATCGCACACTAATAGGTTAATGGGCTTGGATGCTATGAGAAGTGGATTAGTTGTGGACGAGGTTAAAACTGTATTTAACCATATCTTGTTTCTGAACATGTTATGAGAAGGAATCAACTTAAGAACGTGGTGACGACTGGCATGACTGATGGTAAGAGAGCAAGGGGAAGCCAACAGAAGGTAACAGGATGGCTTAGCCATTTAGTTGGGGGTGAGGCAAGACCACTGATCTGGTCCGTGATTATGGTGACTGGGAGATAGTGAAACTTGATCGATTATGTTTGCCAGCAGGGCACATGATGGTGATGACCTACAGCAGAGAAAACCTGGTCATATTTAACTGTTATTCTGTGCTATATCCTAGGTTACTGGCTTGAACTTAACAATAGTAAAGGTATCTTATAAGCTGGATGTTTGAGAGAAAAAAAAATGGATAAAATGTCATGTTGTAAGATTTTTTGGAGAAGAAAGGGTTAAGAGTGAATGCAGAAGAAGAATAAGGCGTTCCTGGACAGGGAAAAAGTCCTAAATACTGTAGAATGGATAATTAATAAAGAAACACAATTTAAATAAACGAAAAAAAAAAAGGGTGGGGGAGGGGGGGGGGGAGACACTCACCTTTGATACGATTCCTTTTTGTTTATTTTCTTGTGTGTAAGGGGGCAGCCACAGCTTGATTTTGTCAGAATTTAAGCGATCTCTCAATCTCTTGATCAGTAGTTCTCGACCAATATTCTCCATCTTTTGTAGAAAAGAAAAAAAAAAGACTGAACAATAAACACATCATCAAAGGCACTGACACAAAGAAATCATCTAGGAAAGGGGCCCCATAAAAATAATAATAAGGTGCTAAATGGCAAATAAACAGAATGATATTTATGAAAAGTTTCAAAGTGTGGGTCTGTGGCTTAGAAGGTAGTGAATGAGTTTAACAATATCACAAACCCTTGAATACCAGGGAGTAATTTTTATTAAAAAAATTTTTGGCAATCCTTCAAATGGCAATCTTTTCTAAATACTTTAAATGCTGACCCTAGGGGATGCAATCCATTGTTTGTGTAAGTTCGCATAGGGTTAAAGTAAGGGCTAACCCTAACCTGAAGAAATATTAAATATTATAAAACACTATTATGTGATCGTGCACAGACAATGGATTGTGTCCTCTATGGTCACCGTAAACCAACCATAGATTGCGTCCCCTAGGGTACTGCCAATTTTGTTATCAATAAATACTTTACCCCCCCCCCCCCCCAAAAATCTATAAATGGAGTTGCAGACCCGTTTACACATTTTCTAGAGGAAATGTAAAAAAAAAATTTCCGGAGGAAATTCAGGGGTTCTAAGTCTCACAGGTTCTCAAACTTGTGCATTTACTATTTCAGGCTTTAAACTCTTTCAGCCCCATACAGTTGCTACTTCTACCAGCTGATCTGACACCTAAAGCTAGGAGAACACTTACAACTCTTATAGCTGTCCCATGCTTACTTACTATTCTACCCTGTTAGAATTCAAGTAGTTGTGACACTTGTTACAATTTCACATGAATGCTGTTGAATTGAGAATCGACATCATGGCACTCGGGACATCCCCATAAGCGCTCTGTCCCTATCTTCAGCAACATACAAAGAGTTTTAATTCCAATGGCACCAGTCACTGTCTGATTGTACATCTGTCTGGCCCTTCCCTTGAGTGTTGAGCATCAGCCAGATCTACTGGTAACTCCTCACAGTTCCATTCTCCTCAGACAGTAATGATCTATTTGCACTTCTGCACTCGCTCCTAGTAGTGCAGAACCGGCCAGTCTGACTGTCTGCTCATTTTCCAACACACCAACATTACCTGGAGAGAATATCCAAAGGATACTAAACTACCTGGTACCTCTGAAGTGATGCTTTCCACATTACCTGGATCCCTGTCTCCGCCTTTCTCAACATGCTCTGTGAGTCAGTGACAATCACTGCATGTGTATACAGCTGATTCTCAAGCCAGCAGTGACTGCCGTCAACTCTATTCTCAAACTAGATGCTGTGATATTAGATGCCAGGCTTTGTTGCACTAAGCGATGTCCATTAATCTTTGCTATGAATCCCCATGCACTTCGTCTGCCCCTCAACACAGAGCCATCTGTATAGATAATCACATCACTTGGGTGGGAATTGTCATGAATCATTTGTTGAACTTCTGATTCTGCAGCACCAGCTAGCCAGCCCCTGCACTCCTGAACCAAAGTGATAAGAAACCTTGCACAAGTCTGAAACTTGCTCTGACATTTTGCACGCCTCACCTCACGAACATTTATCAAGCCTGCACACATGTCTGACTGTGTCTTCAGCTTGTGCCATCGAAGACCTTCCTCTTTTCAGTCTGACCCTTAGATCTACCTAGGGCTTCAAGCAAGGTGTTCCTTGCCTGCAGCTACTCTAAGATATGAGCCTATCTGCAATAGTAGGCAGTGCAAGTATATACTGCATACATACTACCGGGGTATCTCTTGAAGATCCCAGAATTAACCACATGGCTTCATACTGTATGTGTTTAAGTTTTATCAGCTGACTCTTTGTTTGATATGGTAAGCATTCCAAGTCCATAATCTATCACTTTTACGAATCACATGCTGGAACATTGTGAACAGCATTCTTTGTTCTATAATCTTGAGAGCACTGAGTCCTATTTGGCATATCAACACAACTGCCTCCATGTAATTCTACTAGTGTATGGATACTGCTACAATTCTACTAGGAAAGGCACAGTGAATAAAATATTCTACTAGCGCGGGCACTGTTACAATTCTACTAGTGCGGGCACTGTTTCAATTCTTTTAGTACAGTTACTATTATAATTCTAACATTAAAAACGTTTGGTGCCATCTCCACAATGTAGGTTGGCTACAGTGTATCACTGCTGTCTTTGCGGAATATTACGTGGTGAGGCCCCTATCTCTTCCACTGCGCGACTATCTTTCGTACCATTGTCTGAAAACCATTAGAATGGAATTTTACCTGTCCACCGCGGGGAATGAATCATAGTACTCAAGTTATGAATTGTTAACAGAATTCGCTCTAAGTAGCACAATAATAGTTAGGCTATCCTCCGAAAAACGGTAACAAATTATTGATGACGAAAATATACCCTAACAGGGTCTCAGTCACATGTAAATTGCGGACTTCTGCCATCGCCGAGAGTATCTCCCACACTGCTACGCATGGAGCAGGGGCTGAAATAGATGACTGGGACTCACGAACAAATAAAATGAAAGAAGCTGCAGGAGATGCTGTAGCTGCTGCTCAAGAGTCCCAGCCATCCCATCTAGTTTAGACCCGCTCTGCGCCGCACGTAGCGGCGAGAGATACTCTCGGTGGCCGCAGAGAGTCTGCAATAAGTTGCTCTCGGCGGACTAGCCCTATTAGGGATACATTTTCGGCGTGGAACAGGGACTGTTATTCGCAATTCAATAAGTTGCCGTTGGTCCGCAATCACTACCGAATGCCTATGGACATGCTGATATTATCAATGCCCCAGAGGAAATGGGAAGGATAGAGGATTTTGGGTAATCAACAATCACTTCGGCGTGACAATTTGTAATCAACATAGAACTGGCCATCGACTGTTCATTGAGGAGGATAGCCAAATAGGAGTGCAATATGACAGTGCAGAACTAAAAAGAAGAACTCAACCGGAGGACCAAGAAATAGTATTTTTTATCAGAAAATCCTCTTATCCAGATAATAGTTTAATCAAGAAAAATTACCGAGGATAAACAGATTATTCTTCTTTACAGAAAAATTCACCACATCCGAAATCACCTTAATCAGTCTGTAACATACCAGATACCAGGACACTGCTACAACTACAATTCTTCTAGTACATAAATGTTACTGTAGAATTTAATTGTAACAGAGTCGCTATCAGACTGTTCAATCAATAAATCGATCAATCGCTTAGTAACAAACGCTTGCTAATATCAAGTCGGTAGTAGTAACTAAGGATTAAAAGAAAATCGATCCATTATTGCGACTTACTTTTTGTTTTAGACTCAGACTGACTACTTAAATACTAACGCAGTGATTTTTCATTTTTTGTGTGTGGGGTATATTAAACTTCAACACCATTCATAATATACACAGATAATAATACAAACACTTTTCTTAAATCAATTAATAATAAATTTAGAAGTAAAACAAGTTGGTCATACTAAGTCAGACAAGTTGAGTGACAATCAGAAAATGCTGAAAATGATATAGCATGACATGTTGCATTTGAACGAAGACATCGATGTGTTTCACCCTTAAATTACTAAGTTACACTTTGTACATAGAACAGACCTTCTGTGTCAGTTGTGAGATTCAACAATCTTCACAGATATAAAATGGAAACAGCGAAGCCGTTGTTTCAAATAATAAGACAGGAAAACTGAAAGTAAAACACGTTTTCTAGTTCCCGGTCTGCCTGTTCTCCACGACGTCTGATTGCAATGTTTGTGTTTTGATAACATGCAAAGCTACCTATCTGTTTTTAGTTTCGTAAAATAAAAACTACGATATTTGCAAAATTTTTTAACTCACATCTTTCTATTTGATATAAATTAATCAAATGACTATTGTTTTTACTTTTAATGTGAGTAAACAATAATAGATGCAAACATGTTTAGCTTTGCCTGTGTACTGTGTAGCAACAATGGCGGCCTCCATGAAGCAAGTCTGTCTGTTCCGGCAGTTGTACAGTTTGAAGAGAAATGTTTCACTGACTAGTTGTTTATGTTCCTTACCGATTGCAGAACGGAGACCCCGTGTTAGCACGGCGAACTATAATTATGGATCACATATACGGTAGCAGTTTAATTTATAAGTTAAAACAAAGTATGTTTGAGTTTGTTCAGGTCAGGAGTTCAGTTCTGAGTTCAGGACTTTTTAAAAATTTTATTTAGTTACTTTGGTCAAATTTTCAAAATGCCCTCTACACCAATAAAACCAGCACAGTTAGATAGCTGTAAACAATCTCTTTCCAATGGTACCTCATTTAGGCTTGTATGTCATTTCAGAGCTGAAATATTTAGGTTTTGGTGGAGATGAGATGTAAAAAACAGCCGCTAAAACTCTCTGCGCAACAAAACTGCACACTTCTGTTTTGGCTTTGTTTAAATTAGACTGTCATTGGACAAGATGGCAGACAATGAGACACAGCCACTGGCTGAGCCAGCGATTGCCTGAAAAATGTCACTGTACATCTACCTAGCCACGGTTCAGAAAGAAATTTTATACACAAATGTAAAATTGAATGGAGAATTCAATTATAACTAGCATTACCAGGACCAGTAACAGTTAAAGCCTAAAGCCAACCCTGAATACTTAGCGCTATTTTCAATCAAACTGATGTAACAGAAAAACAGAGGACGTCCGGCTGTCGTAGACATGCACTGTTAATCGGATCCGTTCCCGCCGTTTTCAGCTGTTTATAGCGGGTGAAAATCACACCAATCGCAAAATTTCATGAGAGATTAGGACTCATCCCGAAACCCCAGCCGACATTTGCGAAGCAAGTTTCGAACGGTTTCCATGGTAACGGAAATTGCCAAAAAGATCGCAAATTGTCGAAACTGTAGTCGCTAATAATACTATTATAAAAAGCCCTGAACAAACTCAAACATACTTTAATAGTTTATAAAGTTTATTTTTCTAGGAAAAAAGGGGCCATCCCTCAGTACTGGTGCTCAGCACAATGACAAAGTGTCTATTACACAGTAGTGCTGAAAAAATGGTGCCTAAGATAGGTACTTTAGTCAAACATTCAAAATGCCCTCTACACCAATAAAACCAGCACAGTTAGATAGCTGTAAACAATCTCTTTCCAACGGTACCTCATTTAGGCTTGTGTGTCATTTCTGAGCTGAGATATGTAGGTTTTTGTGGAGATGAGATGTAGAAAGCAGCTGCTAAAACTTGCATCTTAGAAACAAGGTTTTCTCTGCGCAACCAAACTACGCACTTATCGTTTGGCTTTGTTTACATTGGACTGTCATTGGACAAGATGGCAGACAATGAGACACAGCCACTGGCTGAGCCAGCGATTGCCTGAAAAATGTCACTGTACATCTACCTAGCCACGGTTCAGAAAGAAATTTTATACACAAATGTAAAATTGAATGGAGAATTCAATTATAACTAGCATTACCAGGACCAGTAACAGTTAAAGCCTAAAGCCAACCCTGAATACTTAGCGCTATTTTCAATCAAACTGATGTAACAGAAAAACAGAGGACGTCCGGCTGTCTTAGACATGCGCTGTTAATCGAGTTCCTTCCACCCGTTTTCAGCTTTTTATAGTGGGTGAAAATCACACCGATCGCAAAATTTCATGACAGATTAGGACCCATCCCGAAACCCCAGCCGACATTTGCGAAGCAAGTTTCGAACGGTTTCCATGGTAACGGAAATTGCCAAAAGACCGCCAATTGCCGAACACTAGTCGCTACCTAAGACAAGGTGCCGATACTTAGTGCCCTACCATTGCGGTTCCGTATAGCCGATGTGTTAGGAAATGAGCAGACAGGATAGACTGGCTCAGCTGGCTCTGATATATGACAAGTTATAGGGCCCTTATGAGGGCCCTTTGGAAGCGAGTGAACAGTGTTGAGGCGCAGATAGATCACTACTATCATTACTGCTTAGTTTAAGGAGAATGGCGCTACGAGAAGTTACCAGGGGATCTGGCCGACGCTCAGCACTCGGGGAAGGATGAGACGGATATACAATCAGACGGTTACTGGTACCATCGGAATCGGAACTCTTTGCTTGCTGCTAAGGATGGGGACTGGGTACTTATGGGAGTGTCCAGAGTGCTGTACAGTAATGTTGATTCCTAATTCAGCATTCTACCACCGGGAAAAAAAAAGCCTGGTTAATTGGAGGTTGAGAGTTCACACTAAATGTGAAACTCTGAAGCTATATTTTTTTAAATTTGGAAATTTTGTAATTTAATTAATCATTTTTCAATTTCCATCAAATTCTTCTTCTCCCCCTTCTTGACATCTTGTATTCTCCAGTTAAACCTAAGCGCACAGCTAACTCACGCCACATCTTCCTACCCTTTGCCGTCATATGGTCATGCATGGAGTTCATGTATTCAAAGTATGATGTATGATTTCTAACTGTACAAGGTTTAGAAAAAATTAATTCTGGCCATCAAAAGGCACAGCAAAGAAGTGAATATTTTTTCTGAAATGAAAAAATAATAATAATAAATATGTCCTCAGTAAATCCATCCCACCAACCACAGTCAACATGAAGAAATAGAGAATGTAACAGGTTTCAGCTCTCCCTTGAATGATAGGTCTGAGTGATTGCATTTAAAAAGATACCCTAACCGGGGCCTCAATAGACTTGCATCCATAACCCATCAATTGTTGGAGTGTTAGGGTTAGCCGTAACACTAACCCTAGGTCTAACACTAATATATAGGTGAATTTAATATATATATATATATATATATATATATATATATATATATATATATATATATATATATATATATATATATATATAAAGTTGACAGGTCTAACATCTACAGCTGACAGCTTTTCACTCCGTAGAACAGTATTGCTAATCAGTGTCGGAGCTGATGGTCTGCCAGCCACATTTGCCGGAAATAAATCCTAATTTTGCATATCACTGAGGCCCTGTTAGGGTATATTTTTAAATGCGATAACTCAGATCCATCATTTGGAGGAGAGCCCAGATTTTGAATACTTGGTCTCTTTAGTGAACAACAGTGGCGACTGATTGAAAGAAGTCAAGAGAAGACTCACATTAGCAGTGCAAAAATTAAACAGCATGAAGAACCTATGGCAAAGCACTAGTAAATTGGTTAAAGTAAAAATCTTGAGATCATGTATTTTTCCTGTGGCAACTTACAATATTTTTAGAAATAAAAAATTCTTAGAATACCATGGATCAAGGAGAGTAAAAACATCAACATTCTAAATGAGTTTAACATCAATGAGAACTGGTTTATACACAGCGTCCTGTCCTGAAAGTTGAAGTATTTTGGCCACATCAAGCATCATGGTGGCTTGGAAAAGATGGTGATGGAGGTTCAGTTTGGGGAAGGCGAGGCAAGGTTTGACCACAGCGAAGATGGATACAGGGCATTGAAGATGGATACAGGGCATTGAAGATGGATACAAGGCATTGAAGATGGATACAGGGCATTGAAGATGGATACAGGGCATTAAAGATGGATATAAGGCATTGAAGATGGATACATGGCATTGAAGATGGATACATGGCATTGAAGATGGATACAGGGCATTGAAGATAGATACAGGGCATTAAAGATGGATATAAGGCATTGAAGATGGATACATGGCGTTGAAGATGGATACAGGGCATTGAAGATGGATACAGGGCTTTGAAGATGGATACAGGGCATTGAAGATGGATACAGGGCATTGAAGATGGATACATGGCATTGAAGATGGATACAGGGCATTGAAGATGGATACAGGGCATTGAAGATGGATACAGGGCATGAAGATCTTAAAGATGGATATAAGGCTAGGGATAAAGATTGAAGATGGATACTTCCGGGGCAGGCGGGCATGCCGTGAAAGAGAGTGACTGGCTTAACTAGGTAAAGGGCTTTTCAGTTGAAGAGAGTGATGGTATGTTGATTGAGCTGGGTGGGTGGGTATGTGTGTGTATGTGAGGGAGAGTGAAAGATGTTAATATTATGCATATTGTTCTATGAACAAACATGCTTTATTAATAAACTCTAATTGCGGTGTGAAAGATGAGTATTTGGAAGGGCAGAATGTAGGACGGGCCTGTGTGCCCAAAATGCGACCCTTTGAAAATAAAATTTGTTAATGCATTTGATTGTTGATTACCCATGGTGCATTTCTTCAGTTAAAAAGCACTATCTTCTGTTTAATAAATTAACTGTCATTAAAAAAAATTATTAATTTATTCCAGTTGTCATTATTACAAATTTACACACACACAAAATTAAAAGATGCAACCTTTAGCATGTGCTTATTAAATTCCTTTAAGGTGTTCCCTACTTCCCTGCTAGTACATAGGTCTAGTACTTGTGCAAGTAAAAATGAAAGTTAATTATATTGACTTTTAAAAAAAACAGGAAAGATACAACTTTTAGTTAGTATGTGCTTTTTAACTCTTTTAATCCCAAATGGTTTCAAAATAAAAGCCCAATTTGGCACAATAATCAGTTTTGAAAAAGACATCAAAGATATACTGTGCTGCATTTGAGGACTTAATATAATGAAATGTTACTTCCACTTTTCCCTACCTGATCTTTTATTTCCCATGTGGGTTCCTGGGCCCCATTGTGGGGAAAATAAGTATAGACCCACTGCCTCCCCAACAGGCATGTCGTAGAAGTCAACTGATTGGAGGCTTCATTCATAGTCAGTGTGTCTGCCCGAGAGGCAAAGAACCAACAATCTGCATACAAAGTAAAATCTGTGAAACAGATGTGGACGCTAATAATAATATTTTAGTATAGCTTGAAAAACACACACAACTTGTAGAATTTAATTACATAATCGCTTGAGATACAAAATTGCACAAGAAATGAAATAGTCTGTCCTGACCCCCACAGGATGACAGGTGACCCCAGGCTGGTGTAACTACTGTAGTTACAGTTTTAGAACCTTTGTTTTGTTTTAGAACAGGACATCTGGAATCTGCCTTGCTAGTTTGCCTGTTTTGTTTTAAATGAAAGACAGGACATCTGGAATCTGCCTTGCTAGTTTGCCATCCTGACTGAGGATTTGTAATCTCAGGAGGGTCTGGTGAACCTTTAGGTAGGAGTCCCATGGGGTCAGATCAGTCGATCAGAAATAGTCGTTTATTGCATTTTAGCCCATGTGTGTTAGGATTGTTGTGGATTTTTAAGTAATGAAAAAATGCTGACATTTAACAAAATTAGTTTATTCCATTATTGATTTTTAATAGTTTTTTTTTTTTTTTAACTCTCTGGGTGGTAGGGTAAACCCTTTAGGTAATAGCCCAGAGTGGATAAATTGATCACTCTAAAACACGGCACTGCATGCCTGAAAGTCTGTCCTTCTCAAGACAGCTCTTAATCCCTGTGTGCTCTTATAGGCAGTGCATTTTCAGTGTCCTATATCTACTTTTGAGGTATACCTCTGCTTCATTTTGCAGAAACTGTACCCTCTATCACCGTATTCTTCACTCTATGAGATGTTACTAATTGATATTGTCCTTCAACAGGACAAGATCTTACTCTACAGAGCACCTGGAGGACAAAATCAAACCGCCGATCAAACCAAAGCGATATGTCCTGGACAGGCTAGTCAAATTTATAACCAGCTCTGCAGATGAGCTAGAGAAGAGAGCTCCCAGTGTTTTTCAAGTCTACAGGACTTTCAGAACAGGTAAGGCAGAGCTGTCAAATGCTGGGCCCCCTTTAGATTGAAATGGCATGGGAAATAAGCTCAGGAATACCTGTAGGCATCTGTACATATAAAGGAGCTAGCCAGGGTAGTGCAATGGCTAGATTCTGACCTGCTGACCCAGAGATCTGGAGTTCCTATTCTTTTTTTTTTTTTTTGCCTTCACTGGCTGTAGACTCCAGTGGAAAGTTATGGTTGTTTGTCCACTTCTGGACTTAAATGTTACTCTAGAACTTGAGTTTTGCTTGCACAGCCATTTTAAGATATGGTGTATTAGTATGCAGACTGTTGGTTCCTTGCCTCTCAGGTAGATGTACTCCCACTTCGAAGGAACCCCTATTTAGTTTACTCTTTCAACATGCTTATTAGGGAGACAGTGGGTCTCCCTTTTTTCCCTCTACAGTGGGTCCCCTCTTTTTCCCTCTACAGTGGGTCTCCCTTTTTTTCCCTCTACCCCACACAGGAAGCTCTAGAGTTCAGTTTGCATCAGGTCAGAATGTTTATAATTGACTTTTGACCCAGCTTTAAATGGGGACCAGAAAACTTCCTGGTAAATAAATGTGACATCATCATCTGGTGTTGACTGCATCACCCACTAAGTGCTGATTGGCTATAAAAATGTGGATTTAGCATCCTGTGGCGATGCACTACTGGTATGAAATAGTTGTTTACCAACTTTTTACTTACTAAGTAAAGAAAAGGGTAAAGATAATAGCAGATACTAGACAATAGAACAAAGTTTTAACTATAGATAGGTAAGAATCCAAGTGATGCCACTGTTTTGCTGAAAGAACAGCTGTACTCATCCCCCCCCCCCCCCCCCACCCCCCCCACCCCCCCCCCCCCCCCCACTTATACCACTTATATGTGTGCCAGTGTATTTGTGTGTGTTTCCCAAGACTAATTTGAAATTGTGCATATAAGAAAGATCAGCAATGGGCACACACATAAAGTCCAAGTGAGGTACATATTTATGTGTCTTCACTGTTTCTCTGCTTTTTTCTTAACACATTGCTGACCAAATTAGACGATCGTCAGATTTCTGATCATATTCTTGGTTAAAGATCATCGAACTAGGGACATGTAGAATACAAGTAAACTGCCTTACCGATAGTATTTGAATTAAGCTTCGTCTGGCATTTTTAATGATTCCAAGATGGCTTTGCCTATGATGGTATCACTTAGAGCTGTGACAAGCATTGTTTTGAGTGAAATTTTGTTTATTTTTGTTACAAGTGCAGATTCAGTCTTTTTGTCATGTTTGTTGACGAAAACTGGTAGTGTAGATGATTCTGCCAGCGTATGTGGTGCTAATAGCAATAATTCCTGGTTAAGTAGAGATATCACAACTGGGAGTAGTGAGAATGATGATGGACGTGATGTTTGAGGTGATGTAAGTACATCTGAGGAAGGAAATGGAGAAAGCCTGCTCAAAATAAACTTGTTGGGTTTGACAATCTTTCTCCAAATGAAACTGCTTATTAAGAGGCAGTGGGTCAGTTTTTGTTGTTGGTGTCCTTGGAATAGGGCACCGAAATGCACACATGGAGAAAGAAGTTAAACATGCAGGCTTGTGATCGTGTAGTCAGCTGTCTCTTTGTAGTTTAATTATTTTCAGTTGTGTACCATTATATTAATATTATAATGAGTTTGGTTATTTGCCATGAATTTATTACCATAATATTTTCCTCATATGGGTTCTGGGGCCCTATTTGGCACACACAAAAAGGAGGGGGGGGGGAGCGGGGTGTGAACAAACTTTAATTTCAAGGGGTTAAGAATTGAACTAAAAGGCACGTCTTGCATTCTGCCTTTTGGGTTTCACTTCTTACATAAATTATTCTATTCATGTATCATACATTATCAGCAATATCAAAGTCTTAGTAACAGGCACTGGAAGTAGACTTTTGAAGGCAGACACAGAAAACTTGCCAGAGACAATCTCCTGTGATAAGAAAGTTATGTTGTCTTCCCTGCCAGGTGTCTCCAGTTTTGTGACTGATACGAAGGATTACTACAGGGTGTCTTCCAGGCTGTGGGCAGGAGAAAGTCTTGCTGCCTTCTCTAGGAAGGAGTTGGAGCTATACAGACAAGTGAGGTTTGCCTGTTTCCTAGCCTTTAACCCTTTCCATTCTCTACTTGTTTCCTGCCCTTGATATTCTGGTGTGTGGGGTAATGAGCAGGCTGATAGGTTGGCTACTGCTGCTTCTATGGGCACTGAGCTACTTTATGATAAAAGGGATATGATTCTGGCTTTCTGGAATCAAGTGGACAGTGCAGTGGTACAGAGCATCCACACTTTAACCTTTAGCACCCCACAATAAAAATTCAAATTATTTCCCTTGCCTCCCACATTTTTTTTTCTTCAGATTTTGCGTTTTTTATGGAGGAAACATGAAAAACACTATAACTTTTTGGTTTATGAATAATTTTGCATAATTATTTAAACTGAAATAAACAAATGATTTCTGCATACATCGATATGAGTTTTGTTGGTGTATGTTTGATAGGTGATGTGTGAGGACAGAGTGAAGTGGGAAAAATGTAAAAAAAACAGTACAAACATAAGGACTCACCAATTAGTAATGCATCTCCACGTATTCCGTATCTCTAAGAATCTGACACACTGTAAACAGAACTACCTTCACTTACTTCTCCAGACATATCAACTTCGCGACTGATATCGGCTGCAGGAAAACACAAAATCTAATTGTCAGAGTCAGAATCCATGAAGATTTCAGAAAAATTAAATTCCATTTCGAAGGATGGTGATGGGTATCGAACTGGCTTATAAAAATTGAGCCAACAAGCCCATTCGCGGCCATTACAGGAAGTTAAACTACTGTAGAATAGTTATTTATAGTTTTCAAGTGACGTCAAACGCATAGCTCCGTTTAGTTGGGTATTTTCCCGACCATATAAGGTTGTCGACTATACTCGACTGTGGGGTGCTACGGGATAAGCGGCGGAAGTCCAGTATACTCGACTGTGGGGTGCTTAAGAGACTAATTCAGTGTGGAGTGAGCAGAGTGTCTGGTTGGTTTTCAGCGGGTAGGGGGAAAGATCGACAGATTTGTAACCACGTCGCAGCTGGCACCATCAGAATATGAACTCTTCCTTGGCTGCTGAGGACAGTTATAGAGCATGTGTGAGAATGTCCTGAGTGCAGTGATGTCAGTTCTTGATTCATTCAGTCATTCATTCTTATCTCTGACACTTTGCTGTCTTTGCCTGTTTCTTTACTTTGACAGTTTCCTTTCTTTGACGCTTTCCTGTCCCTTCTTCTGGTTATATTGCTTGTAACATAATGAACGTGGTGTTTTACTTTGGTAGAGGATGAGTAGGTGATTTTGCTTGTTATAAATTGAAAGTCTAAGATTTGCTTATTATGTAATCAACACATGGAGGTTATATCGTTATCTAGGGAATTTGTTTGTTATATTATGACGGTCTTGAAGATTGCTTATTGTGTAATAAAGAACTAGATTGTTGGTGGCATCAGATTTGCTACTTACAGCTGGCTGCTGAAGATGACAGAGTGGTCTCAGTTCTTTGCTCAATGCAGCTAGATTATTTGCAAGTTTTATAATGATTGTCTGCAGGATTGCTTGTCCTGTGATAAATGCCTGCTGATTTTGTTTGTCTTCAGATTTGCTTGGTAATAGAAATTGAATTAAGTACCATCATTCTCTGGTACACTTTACACCATTTAAAATATTTTTCCTTTCATCGACAGTTCTCGTCCGATCTCCCATTGGTGGGTTTAATATTTGTCATTGCCTTTGCTCCAGGAGGTGTTGCAGTATTCCCGTTTGCGTAAGTTTGTGTGTTTCATTGGTTGTTGATGTGTAGAGGAATGTTTTATTTCATGATCTGTAAAACATACAAGTATGCGTGGTTAATTGGGATTTGAACAGGCAAACCGATTTGGCTGTTTTTGCAAACACTTGGTGGTATATTGATGCATCAAAAGATAGATGTTTATCAGTACAATTTAGGGGCAAATAGTGCGAAAGCACAAACAGATCATTACAGTCTGAAGAGAATGGAGAATGAAGCAGAATATGAGCAGGGGATCTTATCAAAACTGTCAACACTGGTACTGTCAGCACTAAAACTCTTCACTGGCTTTTGAAGATAGAGACTGAGCACTTATTGGAATGTCTCATGTGCTGTGATATACACTAACCTACCCACCCGTTAACCATTTACCCCCATTAAGATTTTAAATTATTTTATATCATTTTTTCTGCATTGTTCTCGACTTCAGATATGTCTTCCCACGTCATCTGTTGTCCCATCACTTCTGGACACCACTGCAGAAAGAAGAGTTCCGTCGCATTGCCTTGACAAAAAGGCTCAAGCATTACGATAGCATCCTCGACTATCTGCATCTGTTGAGCCAGCATATAGAGGATCCTACCTTTAAAGAACATGTCCTCAAAGCTATACAAAAGGTGAGTCACATGAGAAGCATTGCTGGTAACAGTAATTGCATAGTTACATTCTCAAGAGGAGTATTTTCATAGTTACATTCTTAAGAGGAGTATTTGTATAGTTATATTCTCAAGAGGACAGGAGGAGTGTCTTTGCAGTACAATGGCCGACTTGGACTTTGGAATAGATTTTTAAAGATAAGAGAATAATAATCAGAGCTCGCACCTCATGAAAATTACAATACATTAATTTTTGCAAAAGTTAGTGATCATTCATTCTACATCCATCCACCCCTGTGCATTCTGGTCTAAATTTACAATCATCCGGGCTGCTACCTAAGGGTATGTCATACCGTACTGAGATTTAAGAATCAAATCTCAGGCTTGAAAGCATACCTATGAGGCAGATCTCAGATAACCATTCAGCCTGCAAAGAAGTTATAATTAGGGCGCTCATAGTGTCTATGGCTACGTCATCCAGGTATAATTTGCAGTCCTGTGTGGGTCAAGGGAACTCCTTAGGTGACCTTTAACCCCACCAGGACTGCACAAGCAGCTGTTAACACCTGGTGACACAAAGTGCTACCATTCAGATGAAAACCCTGTTCAACCGTTTGGTTATATTAGGGCCTCTGACAACGGCCAGGGTTGGATTGTAATAAACAAAAATTGTGTCTCATAGTAGGACTGAGTTAAATTATAGGTGAACTCCTCATGCTGTTCTGTCAAGGGAGTTGGGGAGATAGCAGTACCCCACCAGGGCATCACACAAGCAATAAACACCCGATGACACAGAGTGCCACCATGTGGATGAGGATCGCCGATGGAAAGGTCCCAGAAACCCCTTTCAGCTGTTAGACCATATATATGGCTAGGCCATATCTATGCCTCAGCTATATTCAGGGCCCCCGGCAGAAGCCAGGGTGGGGCTTCAAATAACAAAAAAATTGCATCCTGCTTGGGGGTCACTTTATGTTAAAAGTCAGAAGAGTTAACTTCACACTGTGGCTGTTTTTGATCAAATGTTATTGATTTTCCCATTGTTGCTTACTTGGAACTGCATTAATTGTTTTTTAAATGTTAAATTTTTTTTGCCAACAAATATTGTGCTTGTATTTGTAGTTATGTAATGTGAGAAATTCAAAATAATTAAAAATATTCTGTTCTCTTGTGCTTTTTCAGCTAGACACCAATGTTTTGTTGGCGAGTAAGGAGATCCTTGAATTGTCTCCCTTGTTTGAAGGCAAGCCGTATAACATGGATTGTCTATCTTTGAGACACATGGTGTGTTGCTTTTGTGTGTGTGTGTGTGTGTGTTTAAATGAACAGTGGTGTACTATTAATGTAAATTTTGTTTCCACATGTGTGTATGGCTAAAGAATAAATGAACATTGCACATGATTTAAATTGAAAGTTAAGCAGGGGAAAGGGGGCACACATTTACAGACTAACATTTTTGTCCAGTCTATAACCAAATAAAACAGCTCTCTCTCTCTCTCTCTCTCTCTCTCTCTCTCTCTGCTGTCTTATTTTCACTTAATGCTTCCCAGCTGCACCTAAGACTGCTACCACCCCTCTGGAGTGTCCCGGCACCTCCCAAATTTGGTGAAGGTTGTTGCCGCTGCACTAGACCATCCCAGTGCCTCCCAGGAAGTGGTAGCACCCACTTTGGGAAAAACTGAGATGGAGGAACTGAAAGCAGTATTAAATTATGAATACAAAAGGCAAAGGGAGTTTTCATAGCACTAGATAGTCAGTGGAAATTAAAACTAACACTAAACTTAAAAAGTTAAAGCACTAATGTCAAATCATTACTTCTATATGGAGCTCAGACGTGGAGAACAACGAAACCAGTACCTAATCAACTTCGAACATTCCTTAACTGGTGTCTATGCAGATTAGAGCCAGTTAAATGGTATGAAAGAATCACTATTGTGGAGCTTTAGGAGAGACCTAAACCAATGTCCAGTGAATCAGGAGGTGAAGAAAAGACGCTGGCATTGAATAGGACACGTGTTGGGCCACAGGTGAAATAATTTGGCCATCTGATAAGATTGTCCTGTTACTGACTATGGAGAGCCACTTTGAAGAAATATAATGAGCACAGAGAAATGGGAAGATTACACAAAATACTGAATGACACAACTAAGACTGACCTGAGAGAAATAGAAACCAGCTCACATAGCACATTAGAAAGAGCACCTGTAAGGTCTTTATATCGAACACTTCACTGAGGTTAAGAAAATGAGAAATTGTTCAATCTGTTTTTTGCCTCTTCATTGTTTGTTTTGCTTCTTGCTCTTTTGGCCACCTTAACAATGATCATGCTGTTGTATTTTCTCTGATGTTATCTTTACATCTTGTTGAAGGTCCACCTTGTACTCTGCATCCTTTCACTCTGTCGTTGTAAGCCTTGTATGGCAGGGTGTCACAAGGCATTCTCTCTACCTGGCATAACCATTTGATTTGCTGTCTTTGTATGTAATTTAGAATTGGCTCTGTGCTGACTTTTTCTTTTATGGCCTTATTCCTGATTTTATCTCTTTTGCTCACTGCTGCAGCCCTTCTTAGATGTCTCATTTTCATGGTTACTCATTTTCTTTTCTGATTTGTTATGAATGACCATGTCTGGCAGCGATAGCATAGCATAGGAATGAATATGCTTTGTATGCAATTTTTTTGTATGTGCAGATCAGGATTGTCTACTACAATAAGAGAGGGAGCTAGCTGTCGCAGTTTTCTTGTTTATGTACCACAAGAAAACATTACTGGGAATATGAAATTATAATTTTTTTTGTTTTGTTTGGTCTGTCGATTCCACAGCGTCACCTGGGCAAGAGTTTGGGTTTGTCCGTCAGGAGGAGGAGGTTGGTGAAAGATGCCCTATTATTACACTACATGGACGTGGCCATGGTCAGGGAAGGAATTAACAACATGACAGAAGAGGAACTGGATAAGGTATCTGTTTTTTAAATGTAATGTTCTCTCCTCCCATACTTGCTATACCCTTTCTCAAGCTCTTTCACTTTCATCATCTCAGGCTTGTTTTTGGGTGTGTATGCTTGGTGGAGCATACCTATATGTTTGTTAAATGAGTAAATTTTTTATGTATAGTTAACATTATATTGTGCATATGTTCAGTTTTTATATAAGGTCTTACTCAAAGTAAATTTATCATCCATTGAGTTACTTACAGTAAGAGAAAAAGGTATATAACATTCACACGCATACTTTGGGAGTCACCGCAGAGTTGCGGCAGGTCGTGGGTTTGGGTCGTGACTTAGCCGCACCATTTTTAGAAATGACCTTGGCCTCCAGGTTGACCCAGCATTGGGTGGTGATGCTGACCACAGCACCCACCAGTGTCCATTGGTCTATAAAGCCTAAAGGCATGGAAACAAGTTCCTTTACTTTTTTTACGCATGCTCTGCTGTCTGCTTCCGCACTTTTTAAAGAGTTCCCATACTATATTGCCAGCTGTAATCTAATTAATCATCTGTCTGCATATTGAATGTTGTCTAGACTCTCTGCTCACTTCCTGCTAAATCAGTCTTTCCTGGTCTGTGTACTGTACTGGTCCAGAAAACATTCACCACGTCTGTCCTATAAAGTAGCTTGCCTCTCAGAGGTGCAGCAGCAGCCAGCCTATAAGTTTGCTCATTTCTCTGCATGTGCAGGCAGAAAATCCACGATATGCTCGATATGTAAGTCTTATCAAGCATTGCGGTTCACTCTGCCTAGTAGACCAGTTTCTGCATTCTAAAGCATAGACTGTGAGCCCTTTATGGTTACATGTCAAGTTGTACTGCTCTCACCACTGGAAAGCTGCCATTGCAGCCTGTTTCCATTATCATGTTGGATGTTGTACCATTATATCTGGGGAGGCTAACCAGACAGCCGATGTTTGAAGAAGTTGCATGGATCACATGCGGCCACTATTTTGTAAGCGGGCACACAGCAATCACACCCTTGAATCAACACAGATGAAGAACTACCATCACATGCAACACTCATTTTATTACGGGCAGTTTCAATTCACATCTGCAGTGAAAACATGAGGGGGGGGGGGGTGTAAATGACAGGCATTTATAAAAGAAGCATGCACAGATCTACTAGTGCAGTCATGCATGAAATTAAAGAGCAACACAAGAGATACTTTTAAGATGAATCACCTGGAAGCTTTTTCAGCCAGCCTTAAGGCTGACATGTTTGAGAGTGATGTGTTTTTGAATGTTGAATTAAGAATCTACATCACAGCACTTGGGACACCCCCATCTCCAGCAGCAAGCAAAGAGTTAACATTCTGATGGTACCAGTAACTGTCTGGTTGTATATCCGTCTCACCTTCCCCCTGAGTATTGAGCGTTGGCCAGATCCCCTTGTAACTCCTCGCAGTGCCATTCTCATCAGACCGTAATAATCTGTCTCTACACTGTTCACTCGCTTCCAAAGGGCCCTCACAACATTCATCAGTTCACCTTCAAGTGGTGCAGAACCCACCATTTTATCTGACTGCTCATTTCCCAACACACCAGCATTACCTGGAGAAAATAACCAAAGGATGCTAAAGGATGAAAACTGAGAGTGATGAGATAATTGAGAAAGAGAACAGTCATAAAAGATAGGGATAACTGAGAATGTGAAAATGATATCATTCAGGAAGAAAAGAGTCACAAAATAAGATATTAAAGGGGTTGTATTTGAAAGAACATGGCCGAAAAACAACAACAATGTTTACAGATACTGTAGTATTATGGCGATAATGATGACTGGTGAAAATGACGCATTTTTTAATTCTTTTTTTTTCCCAGGCATGTGACTGGAGGGGGTTGAATCCCCAGGATCTTTGGCGTAAAGATAAAGTATCTTACCTGGAAAGCTGGACTCAGATTAGCTCCACTGTCCATGGTAAGTTGATGGTTATGTATAGACCCAGATTAGCTCCACTGTCCATGGTAAGTTGATGGTTATGTATTGACCCAGATTAGCTCCACTGTCCATGGTAAGTTGATGGTTATGTATGGACCCAGATTAGCTCCACTGTCCATGGTAAGTTGATGGTTATTTATTGACCCAGATTAGCTCCACTGTCCATGGTAAGTTGATGGTTATGTATGGACTCAGATTAGCTCCATTGTCCATGGTAAGTTGATGGTTATGTATCGACCCAGATTAGCTCCACTGTACATGGTAAGTTGATGGTTATGTATGGACCCAGATTAGCTCCACTGTACATGGTAAGTTGATGGTTATGTATGGACCCAGATTAGCTCCACTGTACATGGTAAGTTGATGGTTATGTATGGACCCAGATTAGCTCCACTGTCCATGGTAAGTTGATGGTTATGTATTGACCCAGATTAGCTCCACTGTCCATGGTAAGTTGATGGTTATGTATGGACTAGGATTAGCTCCACTGTCCATGGTAAGTTGATGGTTATGTATTGACCCAGATTAGCTCCACTGTTCATGGTAAGTTGATGGTTATGTATTGACCCAGATTAGCTCCACTGTTCATGGTAAGTTGATGGTTATGTATGGACCCAGATTAGCTCCACTGTCCATGGTAAGTTGATGGTTATGTATTGACCCAGATTAGCTCCACTGTCCATGGTAAGTTGATGGTTATGTTTTCTAGCTGTCCAAGATGTCAGGTTTGTAGCATGTTCTAATGAATGGCTTATATGTAATTTTTTTTTTTTACTAACTGGAAGATACTGAATATGACCAGATTAAATTTCTTTAATCTCAGCTGGTACTGTTGCTTCTTTTTCTTCTTCGTCTGACCAGATTAAATTTCTTTAATCTCAGCTAGTACTGTTCCTTTTTTCTTTTTCTGACCAGATTAAATTTCTTTAATCTCAGCTGGTACTGTTCCTTTTTTCTTCTTCTTCTCCCCCTTCCCTTCCTCTTTGTCCTTCTCTGTTCTTCCTCCTGCTCCTTCTCATCATCCTTCTTATCCTCCTCCTGCTTCTTAACCTTCTTCTCCTCCTGCTTTGTAGCTGTCCATTGCATTCTCATTGATTATAAAACTACATTTTTGCAACTTCCACCTAATTTTAATTAATTATCTAATTTGTCCATAACTTCCTCCCATCAGGAGTGGATCAGTGTAGCTATCAAGAACTCTCTTTCTTGCCTCAGTTGACATTTGAAAGCATATAAATGCATAGCTGCAGAAAATTGCTTAAATTGTTTCTTCTATTCTTTTACAGAATCAAGCATTTCCCTTTTGCTGCATCTTCCGGTACTTCTAGGATACTGCCTTCCCACAAATCGTGAACTCATGGGACCAAAGAGTGCCAGGTTGCGTGGCAGATTATCATAGAAATTGGATTTAGTTTATATTTTCCATTGCACATGAGCATAAATTGAAGCTTTCATTTTCTTCCATTGCATATGACCTAATGTGATGCAGTAACTATGATCTTTACTATCTGTTTTTCAGTGTTTTTGGTACTAATTTTGACGAGAAATACAATATTTTTTGCCACTTTTTGAATATTTATGTTGTTTTCTTCTTCTGCTGTTCTAACTCTAATGGAGCATAGGCCCTCAACCAACGCACTCCAATTCGTTCTATCTTTTGTTATCTCCATGTCCTCCCCATCTTTTTGACTTCACTCTTTCTAGCTCCCTTGAATTTGTCGCAGCTTCATTAATAATGTATTGTCTGATGTTTGTCAAATTTGATTGGTTGATATGAAAGATAAACAGCAGGTGAATGGGGAAAGGTAATAACAGTACATCAAATAAATGATTTCAGTAAAACCTTGTTAACACAAATTCCAAGAGTTTGTGTTAAACAGATTTGTGCTAACAGGGGACTACTAATAATAACACATCCCTGCTGGGACCAACATTTTGTTCTTGTAACCGTTTTTCTCAAGTGAGTTCACATAAATTAGGTTTTACAGTATTTGATGACAATTAAAATAACAGAGTGGTTGAGGAGTGAAGGAAGATCACTTGTTTTTAAATAGGAGTTAAAATCAGTGTGTTTATGGGTAATGAACATCATTTTCAGACTGACTGTAATGAATATCAGTTTCAGAGGGTGGGCAGGGAACATCATTTTCAAACTGAGCCTAGACCTACGTCACTTTCTTGTCAAAACTGCTTGTTTCATTGAGAATTTTGTGGAGTGTGAATGATAAACATCAGTTCTGGAGTGTGAATGATGAACATCAGTTCTAGAGTGTGAATGATGAACATCAGTTCTGGAGTGTGAATGATGAACATCAGTTCTGGAGTGTGAATGATGAACATCAGTTCTAGAGTGTGAATGATGAACATCAGTTCTGGAGTGTGAATGATGAACATCAGTTCTAGAGTGTGAATGATGAACATCAGTTCTAGAGTGTGAATGATGAACATCAGTTCTAGAGTGTGAATGATGAACATCAGTTCTAGAGTGTGAATGATGAACATCAGTTCTGGAGTGTGAATAATGAACATCAGTTCTAGAGTGTGAATGATGAACATCAGTTCTAGAGTGTGAATAATGAACATCAGTTCTAGAGTGTGAATGATGAACATCAGTTCTAGAGTGTGAATGATGAACGTCAGTACTGGAGTGTGAATGATGAACATCAGTTCTAGAGTGTGAATGATGAACATCAGTTCTGGAGTGTGAATGGTGAACATCAGTTCTGGAGTGTGAATGATGAACATCAGTTCTAGAGTGTGAATGATGAACGTCAGTACTGGAGTGTGAATGATGAACATCAGTTCTAGAGTGTGAATGATGAACATCAGTTCTGGAGTGTGAATGATGAACATCAGTTCTGGAGTGTGAATAATGAACATCAGTTCTGGAGTGTGAATGATGAACATCAGTTCTGGAGTGTGAATAATGAACATCAGTTCTGGAGTGTGAATGATGAACATCAGTTCTGGAGTGTGAATGATGAACATCAGTTCTGGAGTGTGAATGATGAACATCAGTTCTGGAGTGTGAATGATGAACATCAGTTCTGGAGTGTGAATGGTGAACATCAGTTCTGGAGTGTGAATGGTGAACATCAGTTCTGGAGTGTGAATGATGAACGTCAGTTCAGGAGTGTGAATGATGAACATCAGTTCTGGAATGTGAATGATGAACGTCAGTTCAGGAGTGTGAATGATGAACATCAGTTCTGGAGTGTGAATGATGAACGTCAGTTCTGGAGTGTGAATAATGAACATCAGTTCTGGAGTGTAAATGATGAACATCAGTTCTGGAGTGTGAATGATGAACATCAGTTCTGGAGTGTGAATTATGAACATCAGTTCTGGAGTGTGAATGATGAACATCAGTTCTGGAGTGTGAATGGTGAACATCAGTTCTGGAGTGGACAGGCAGCTTAGGACTCCTACAACCCTCTCCCAAGAAAATGTGTTCAACCCTACCAGACCTGAGGCCCTGAACCTAACTGTCCCTATAACCTGAGCTCTTTGGCATTAACACGAAAAAATCAACATGATGTACACACAAAATTAGTTACATGCAAATAAGTGGTTAAAATAAGATAAAACTTGGAGACATTGTAGAAAAAAGGTTTACCTTTCATCTAGTGCCTATCTTCCACCTTTGTGTGCCAATCCACCTAGTAGGATCAGTCTTGTTTCACAAAGTAAGCACCAGGTGTTGCTGTTTGAGGGACACGCCCCCTTCTCTTACTATCGATCTAGTTTTAAATTTATAATTTTCATAATTCTCCTCCTCATTCTAGCTCTTACTGACTGTGTCACTTCAACTGGGAACGTATTCTTTATGAACGTATTCAGTCTAAATTAACCAAAGTATCGATCACCTGTTGAACTTTAAAGCCTAGACCTACGTCACTTTCTTGTCAAAGCCGATCGTTTCATTGAGAATTTTCCAAATTTATTTTACATCAAACCACACCAAAAAATCTCAACACATGTGGGAAGTCATTTGCAATGACTAACCACGAAGTCTCTCTCATTGGCTGGGTATTTTTAGTCTGTGACGCATATTTTGCACGTACTACGTAAATTCCCCAAAAATGGGGCCAGCGGTATAGCGTCAGGTTAGAAAATTTCCGGAAAATGGGGCCAGCTGTATAGCGTCAGGTTAGAAAATTTCCGGAAAATCGGGCCAGCGGTCTGGTATGGTTAAGGGCTGAAAGGCCCTCTCCTCCAAATACGTATAGATATCTTTCACATATTGGGGAAGGGGGGCATTTAACACATAATACTAATAATTTATCTTATTATTATCACTTTAATAAAGCTAAAACACTTTCCTTTCCAGAAGATGTGTAAGGGGAGGGAGCTTCCCACCCCCCATTAAAAGCACTATCCAGCCCCCCACATGCCGGCCATGTTTTCTGTCTTTACGCCAGTACCTCTGCTGTACAGAAGTTTGCAGAAAACACACTTATTCAAATCAAACATAGAGAACAATCTAGTGCTACCAGTTTATTTTATTATTTTGAAGATTCTTTTGTCAGTAGTTATTGTAGTCATTTTTTAGTTTATTTGTTTTGTGTTATAATTTCCTCATGCATTGACAGAGAAGACAAAACAGATTGCATCGACAGAGGAGACAAAACAGATTCCATCGACAGAGGAGACAAAACTGATTGCAATGACAGAGGAGACAAAATAGATTGCATTGACAGAGGAGACAAAACAGATTGCATCGATAGAGGAGACAAAACAGATTGCATTGACAGAGGAGACAAAACAGATTGCATTGACAGAGGAGACAAAACAGATTGCATTGACAGAGGAGACAAAACAGATTGCATTGACAGAGGAGACAAAACAGATTGCATTGACAGAGGAGACAAAACAGAATGCAGTGACAAAGGAGACAAAACAGAATGCACTGACAGAAGAGACAAAACAGAATGCATTGACATAGGAGACAAAACAATTGCCCTGACACAGGAGATAAAACAGAATGCATTAACAGAGGAGACAAAACATATTGCATTGACAGGAGACAAAACAAGATTGCATTGACAGAGGAGACAAAACAGATTGCATTGACAGAGGAGACAAAACAGATTGCATTGACAGAGGAGACAAAACAGATTGCATTGACAGAGGAGACAAAACAGATTGCATTGACAGAGGAGACAAAACAGAGTGCACTGACAGAGGAGACAACACAGATTGCATTGACAGAGGAGACAAAACAGAATGCATTGACAGAGGAGACAAAACAGAATGTACTGACCGAGGAGAAGAAACAGATTGCATTGTTAGAGGAAACAAAACAGAATGCACTGACAGAGGAGACAAAACAGAATGCATTGACAGAGGAGACAAAACAGAATGCATTGACAGAGGAGACAAAACAGATTTGCAGTTTATTGCCTGGCATGCTATATTAAATCTCTTCAGGTGCATCTTACAGAATTAAATAAGGTGAAGCAAGCAGTTGAATACTTTTAAATGAAATACAAAACATACACCTAAATTCAAATTAAAAAAGGTGGTTTGTGCATTATGTTGTGATTTACAACTGGGCAGCAGTCTGGGAAAGGGGGAGTCTCCGTGGAAAAGCGATCAAGCCGTTTTCCTCGCACTCTGAAGGTCGTGTGTGCAATTTTTACAAAGATCCCTGGGGATCATTACTGGAGCTACAGATTTCGTGCTCTATGGTGTGCTCTCGGCAGGCGGTTAGCCATTCTGCGGAGAGAGACTGAGCCATATGGGATAAAACCTGGTGCAATAAAGTTGATCCTCCTTGCTGTAACCTTTAAAGTATATGCATCTTTCAGCCTAAAACATCCAGTTTCAGCAAAACTTAATTAGTCGCCATATACATCTTGTCTAAGCGGCGTTGGTTCTGTTCTTTTTTTCTTCTTCTAAAATAAACGTGGGCATACTGCAAAATATGCTAGGCAATAAATTGGGCAATTTGCTGTGCATCTTTTCTTTGTTCAATTTTACAGTGGTGGAGGAAACATTGATTTCCACATGTGTTTGTGTAGACAGCAACCCATTTTAACCCTTTCCTGTCCCACAACTGATTTCTCTTCATTGTGTATTGCCATATACTGCTGCAATGAATTTTCTTCAATGTGACGTAGCCCTTGCCTTCATTTCTACTTGAATTCATTTAATAAATGAATATTACATGTGCTGATGATTTTCTTCTATATATAAATGTCAGCCACTTTTTATGTGTGTATTTTGTGATCTGAGAGCTCAGGTTTGGCCTCAGAAGGTTATGTTATGACAATCAGTGGCACTGCACGTTGGATATTCCCATACATGCTGAGGCTTAGAATGCAGAAGCCATCACAAATTTCCATAAGAAGTTGGTTACAAACCTATAAACCTTTACCTTGAATATATTCATTTTTA